ATTTTAGATCGATAGATCAAGAGCGATTACTTGAGTAACCAAATTTTCAGAATGATCTTATGTCCCGTTCTCCGTAAACGTCTAAGGTGCCATCTACCGTGACCCACCCTGTATATAGTATTGAATGGTGGGGATGGTATTGTGCCCCATCATTTGTCTGCTATCTCAGGTTTTCTATCTTCAAGCTTCACTTTTTTGAGGAATTTGAGGATTTTGAGGAAATCTGTTCGTGGTATTTCTCCCACAGTCAGTTGGTTTGATCCCAGTATAGTCGATCTTTACTCCATCAAGATGTGGTTAGTTTGTTTTCTGGATATTCCCCACAGAATATGCATATATGCTGTCCTCTAAGCCTGGCTTCCCTCAGCTGTTCATCTAGTCTAAAATTACCCCATTAGAAATCCAGTTATTGCCTTTAAACTTATTTTGCTGAGGTAAATCATTGTCTTCAATCTTGCTCGGATGAAATTGACGCAGTCCTGGAACTCATTACCACTATTACCAGTGTGTTTTTCTCATTGCTTCCTAAGCTGTATCAAATTCTTCTTGGAAATAGAGATTTTCAATACCGCAGAATGGTTCTGATCCGATCAGTCGATTTGATGCTTCTTTTCGTGCCAGAATGCATGCTTGTTCATTTCCCTCAACTCCAATTGTCTAGGCATTCCCAAACAATCTTTGACTGTATGTTGAAAGAGTTCATTCAACGCTTTGAAGACTGCTGGGCTGTCGAAAAAGATGGTGATTTTCTTGTTCTGGTACTTTCGGTCTACGTTGCACCTTTCTATGGTGTGGATTTTCGCTTGAAAAACGTTGGCCAACTATAGCACATCAGTTTGGAATGCGAGACCCAAAGACTCCTACTTCAGTTTCCTGGAGTATTTTATACCCGTTCATATACCATATTATGGTATTCTTGCACATTGCTTGGATGGATTCCGTGCTCCATTCCGTTGGAAACTTTTTCCTGATGATTTCATCAGTTGGAAGATTGGCGAGGTATGCACTTTTAGTGTTCCTTGAATTTTGATACGACGCACGATTTTCGGAAAAAAATTATGGAAGGCAGGAAAAAATGTAGAGAAATGTATACTCCACCTCCTCATTCAACCTACACGTATGGCGAACTTTCTTGATATATTCAGCTTATTTTTCTACAAATCCTCCAATATGGTACTTTCCACTGAATAACCTTCTAATCCAAAAGCCCATGAACGCCATCAGACCTTCGTTATTTTATGAAAGCTTGAAGTTTCTCAGCGCATGCTCCCAACACAGGTAGAACGATGGGCAAATATGAAGTTTCATGGTGTCTTTGGCAGGTTACAGGAAGCAGAGGTGTAAAAAAAACAAATTAATTTCGTCAAATTATAAGTGTCTACCATTGTTGTTCATTTCATGAACATTGTGTGGATATGACTGAGCTTTTTGTGTTCATTCAACATTTCATTCCACTTTGAGCAGTGTGGCTATTTCCCTCGCTATTTCCTTGTTGAACTTCATTGTTGCCCATCGTTCTCACCTGTGTTGGGAGCATGCGCTGAAAAACTTTCAGCTTTTATAAAATAACGAAGGTCTGACGTTCACGGGCTCTCGTTATATATTATTGCAGTTTCGTCATTTACAGGAAAATAAGAATGAAACTTGTACCTACCATCACTTTCAACTGTTTTACCACCTATCAAGCGGACTTTTCAAATGCCTCGACACGTGTTAGTATCTTCAGAACAAAATTGAATCATATCTTCTCCTGGAAGATGCTAACATTGGTGGCAAAACACGTGTCAAGGCGTTTAAAAAAAACGGTTAGGTCAGTGGTAAAACTCGTGAAGATTCTCCTGTTTTTTAAATTATTCCATTTTTATATTAATTTTTTGTTTTGCTTCGTCTCTAGAGCACGTTATGCAACGCTTAGCGAAGAAGCTATCGTAGTGAACACTATAGGAGTGACTTTGATCGCTCTTGCCATAGTTGTAGGATACATTCTCCAAAAGGACGAGTTCCGGTTTAGGGCCCACATCCTCATTAGATCCGGAGATCTCTGAATTCGAATGGCCTGCATCATCTTATCGCATCACCGCTACTCATAGAATAGTCAGTGTAGTTTGTGTTTTGATCGAAATAAATGATTAGTGAACCCACAGCACGTTATTGACTTATAGCGTTTTCCACTCGTCGCACTAGCTCGAACTTTTTTGGCACTGAGAGCGTTTTTCGTTGTCCATTGAGAATTTCAAGAGAATCAAGAGCTCTTGTCGAAAAATGATTTCCACTGGCTTTCAAACTTGCTAGATGCCCGCTCGATCATCAGAGTTCAAGTTTTCAGAACTTGATTGTACATCGGTGCGATACACATAACCTCAAATATGTGGGAAAATGTTTGGAATTTGAATAATTATGAATTTCTCATTGAAGTTTATTACTATTATTACAATAATTTCCGAAATCATAGATACTCCGGATACAATAAACGATGATGAAGAAATGATGATTGAGATACAGAACAACTTAGTTACGAAACAGCGAAACAACTTGATCTGTGTGCTAGTGCGCTCTGTGAATCGGCGAGTGGAAAACGCTTTTATTTTGCATGTTTTATACGAACGACGATTGTTTTTTTTTATGTTCACTGATGGTTTATTTCCATTTTTTGTATATGTGTTAGTGATGGTTGGACTTGAACTTTTTTATGTTTAAGAATTATGTAAGAGTGATCCGTTTGGAAAATAGGGACTTGAGACCGTATATCACAGATTAAAAACACGAACAATTTTGCTTGTACTCCATTTCAGAGGGAAACTACCTAAATTTCTCAATACGAATATAAGTGTGATGAATTAGTTATGACAAATTGATACCTAGAATTATTTCATTGCGCAAAGTGAATATTTGTAAATATAGTCGAGTACAGGGATCTGTGAAAACTGAGAATTGTTGTGATACTCCGATAGTGTTTTTAATCTCTGAAATCATCAAATATGTCCCTATTTTCCAAAAAGATTACACATGTGTTTGTTTATGTAAATGATGTGTGAGTGATATATTATTTGTTTGTATATTCATGTTTCATAATAAAAAAACTCATTTATACTTGTAATTAAGGATGCATCACCGAAGCTTCTAGTGTAGGAAACCTATGATTTGTTTGAACTAATGGTAAAACTTGCATGAACATAGTTGACGCTATCGTCAACTGAACCCCGTCAGTTGCACTCGGTCCGATATGTCAACACTTCGGCAAATATTAGTCTACCGTTTCGGGTGATTTAACCCAAGCAAATACACATGAAGATCTTCTTGACTTTCAGGACAAAATTTCAGTAGTTATTTGATTTTATTATATTTTGAATTCATAAGTCTAAATATTCTAAATTGTCAAGAGAACCGTCCATATACAACTAATTAGAGTTCAGCTCTGGTTTATAGTTAGATCATTTCAAAAGCTTAGGGCGTTGTTGCATTCCTAGCAAAAAGTCGGGTAAAATTGCACTTATCATGCGATGGGTTTTTTTCGAAAAAGTTTTTTGGTACTCATGTATTTTTGTCTGAAAAACACGAATTTGATAATGAAAATATGAACAAACCACCATTTATCGAGATATTTCAAGAAAAAGTTTAAAATTTCGCCTCCTTTTTCGCCTGTGTTGGATGCATTTACAGCTACTTGGTCTTCTTATTTTGTCATTGGACACGTAATATACGATGTACTTCAATGACACATTTTTATAAAGAAAATTCAACACGAAATATGATTTTTAAGGAGAGTTTTTCATATTGATTGAACAATCATACCAGATGACGGCCATTTAATATAGTCAAAGTCAATCCAAATACGAGATGACGAATGTCAATAGATTGCTTCTGAATGACATTACACACGCCATTATTTTAAATGATATTCTTCCTTCTTCTCACAAATAATATGGATAAATCGCATGAAATAGTACATTGTTTAACGAGCACGGAATGATAGTGATTTCCTACGAGAATGAAGTTTGCAGCATGAGCCATAGGCGAAAACTGCAATTATTCGAGTACGAAATTAGCATTCCGTGCAAGATATACACTATAATTTTTCTACGGCTGTAACAGATAACAGCGACATTTTCGATTTCTTCGGCTTGTAGCCATCTCTGATTTCCTGTCAAGTAATTAACCATTCTAGAACACGTGATTTTGACATGGTTTATTGAGGGGCACACAAACTATTTATTAGGTTACCTTTGATGAGCATAGCCCTGGCCATCCCTCTGCCACATCCACAATATGATACCAGTTTCACCAAACAAAATTATGAAATTCTTTCTGTTTCCAACTCGGATTCCAAGGGAAACGATCCCACTAATTCTGGTTTCATATGACAAATCTTGACAGAATACAATGCCTGCCCCTCAGCAACCTGTCAAATGACGTAATTCTGGAATGATCAATGCTCATCTATCAGACAGAGCTGTCATTCTTTGCAATTTGAAATTCCATGAGCGATGAGATTTTTTATAATAATAACAAAATGAAGTCATTGTGATATCACAGATACGGAAATAAAATTGATGACATAGGTACAAAAGTATCTCATTGATGAAGGTATCGAACACAGTAAAAGAAGAGCAATTTTGTGTTATAGCCGTAGAAAAATCATATTTCTAGTTTACTCATAAAATAGATAAAAATGTGTCTTTGAAGCACATTGTGATACTTATATAAATTGTCCAATGATGAAAAAACAAGGGCAATTGACGGTCAAAAGACGGTGAAGTTCCAAAACACATTTTGGAAAAAAAAAACCATCGCATGATTATTAAGTGCAGTTTTACCAAAAGTCGTAGTAGGTACCCATTCCACTAACCAAAAAAAGTCAGCTTGAATTTTAGATTGCATGTATAACTCGCACTTGAGCAGCAAGAGGCATGCTTTGCTATCTCCAGACAACAGGCACTGTCACCGAACGCTAAAGCTTGTAAATACCGACTAAAAAAGTAAACTACTAACCAAACTTTCAGGAATACATACTCGGAATGGCCGGAACAAGGGATCGTAGTGAACGCGTTGGCAATGGTGCTGATAGCTCTGGGTATCTTGGTATCGTTCGCTGTTCGCAGCCCAACTCTCAGCGCTGACACCAAGCTCTTGGTAACAGAGAGGTTGTAGGAAATGGCGCTTCAAAGCGCCAAAGTATCGGACATCAACTCAACGCAAGAACCACAGAGGTTCTAGAACGCAGGAACCTCCGAACGTTCCAAACTCAATGATATATTTATGGTAGATTAAATGCATGTGTAGTACTAATACCATATGGTCAACTGATGGGCATATGATTGGGGGTAGTGGATACAGACGAAATTGTGACTGCTCCGAAATATTTATGCCAAAATAATGTTAGATGTATTTAGTAGGTAATGTAATAGTTATACTCATTAGACTGTGGTCGGGATCCAGAATTTCTTCTATTCAGTCTGTTTCTATAATATCTTCATAAATAACAATTAAAAAGTGATTTATGTGAAGCAATCTGGATTCGGGCTTATTCTTCGTGTTGAAGCTTCATATTTTTAACATTCCTCAAGAAAATCGGAAAGGTTTATTTTATACCGTTTGGATTCATTTTTCAGATTTTCTTTGAACTTGAGTGACAACAGTCATGTAGTTCTTATTTTTACTGTTTGAGATTGTTTCCAGTGTATTCTGCTTTCACCAATGAGAATGACTGATTGATATACCGGATGTCAATAACGAATCTGATAGTCATACTATGAAGGTTTATTACGTCACTCATTACCTAAGTGTTTTGTTTTCCAAAGAAGACTCAATAAGAATATCTTCAAAAAAGAATGCATCATGACACACTTGACAAAAATTCATCACATGTCCCTACCAAATCTCATTTTGTTACGAATAATAGTATAGAAGTTATGACATGTCTGATAGATCGTTGACACTCGGTAATTTTAAAAATCTCCAGAAACTTTCGATACGATTCTCAGCACAAAAAAGTCTGTCGATGTGGTTATAACCATTCATCTCTAAATCCTGTAATGCTGGTGAAATATTTGAATTAGACTACATTTACTTGATATAAATATAATTCGTGTAGAATATATGGTAATTGGTAGTAAATCTGTAGGGATATATAAAGATACTCGTAGTCATCTGTGTAAATACTATGGGAGAATGTTCGTACTAATCAAAATTTTTAAGCTCAAAAGTACTAAGATAATCAAACAATATTCTGTGTGTGCTATTTTCAGTAGGATTGATAGATACCATTAGGACTTTTTTTGACTAGATAGAAATGAAATGCTTGACACCCCTATTATTTGTAATGCTGCTATAGGAATAAAAAATCTCACGTGATCCATCGAATATAATTCTTATAGTTGCATTTCTGATGTGTACTAGTGTATACTAAATGTTCTGCAATATAATATGTTCAAATATATGGGTATATCTTCATGTTATCTAGACGAAAATTAATATATTTAAAGAATCTTTATTGTATATTACTAAAGTACAATTTATTTAATGGACCAATATAAACTCATGATATTGTTATACTGAATATGTTTTATCATTTGTTACAATAATATTATACTCTACATTACTATTAGATTATTTATATGCTGCTCGATTCAAATTTTTAGATATTATTTAAATATGGACTATATTACAGCGATAATGATTATGTACAAGTATTTGTAAGTTTTAATAAATGTATTCCAGTTGGACTCAGTTTCATTTCATGGGGAAGTAATCCTGAATCATTTTCACCCTGTCTCATGATATGTCAAACCCAACTAAATAATACTGTGGATTGAGGCAATCATAAGAACTTCTATGGAAAATGTCTATATTGAATTAAAATACCAACAATAACACATTCGTAGAACATAATATACCTACAACAGATATAATCATTAAGTACATAATCAACCCCGACCTCAGGAAAAAATAGTCCTTGGTGTGAAATTGCAACTAAAAATGAATATAACAGTGATGTAGTGGTAACTTGAACCACGTTATATGATTTTGACATCACCATAAAATTGGAATGAATTCATTGATAAATTGATCAAATCATTCAAGAACATACTGGGTGTGTCCCTAAAAGAAATGTTCAAAATCTTGCGAGGCGAAGCGTTTATCGAAGCCATGCGAGAGCAAAATTTGTGAGTCAAACAGAGTCACTTTTGATCCAAATGAAACAAGCTAATTTTGGAATTGAAATGGACGACTTTTGTGTCGGTTGCAGAAAAAAATATATCTGCTGTTATCTTTGTGGATATAATTTGGTCAGTGAATTAGAAGCTCAGAATAGACTTTCTCAAATACTTTTTGTTTTGTATATGTGTGTTTAATGCCCTTCGCTACGCGTCGGGAATCAAACTTCACACGCGGGAGGCAATGGAAACCTTTTCCCCCTTGATATATAAATAGCTATTTTAAAATGGGATCAAGGGGGTAATTTTTTCTAAAATCATAACGGCCAGACTGTGATCTCATCGATTCACTTTTCGTCGAACTGCCTAATTAAATAGCAAATAAACGTTTTAATTCATCGCCAATCAAGAATTCTTTTAGATATTCTTTAAAATTACGTTCTTTCTCTTGAATTTTCTTAAAAATCATAAATAGAAATGGTACTTTTTGCCACACACGCACACTTGTAGAGTTTAGCGTGAGATATCGAACTGATCAGTCGCAGTAATTTTTTATCGACCCACCCATGAAAAGATGCACCTAAGAAATTTTCTAATGACGAATTTCTACACCAAAGAACAATGCACTTCATTTCTTTGAGAAAAAAAAAACGTGAAAATGAAAATCGTTGCAAAATGTCAACTCCATTTTGAGCAGAAGCATTTTCATAGCGATCTAGATAGTATTCATGTGATGAACAGTCGAATATCTAGAACACTGTTTATGACTTTTTTCCAGTTGACACAGCGATAACATGTTATATTCAATTCGAAAATTCCATTGACGTAATTATTATCGTCACATTCTCCGTTTTTCAGGAACTATAATTACTTCATTTCAAATAGCAGGATATCATACAACTACTCAATCTAACTCAAACAGCCATGGAATATTGAATAATATACAGCGTGATTTCGAAATCACTCTACCAATACAGTTAGTGTTGTATGAGACATGATGAAACACTAAATAACAAAAAAATAGGTATTTTGTTTTTTTTTTCAATTGCGCTCCCATCATATCACACCTTTACTAGCATTGAACGTCCAGCAACATTGGATAAGTCATTGATGCTTCTGGTGCTTCTGACTTGATTTCTGCTTTTAACCTCTGCCACAGAAAGGACCCCGCACGAAAACACGGCAAATTGACTCTCGGTCGAATTGGCTGAAATTTTACTATGTTGTTGTGGGATGGCTCATTAGAAAATTATGTGTGTTCAGAAAGTTTTGTATGTCAAGTTTCTAAGATACAAGCCGACAAAGTTCGTAAAAACGTCGTATCGGGGTAGGATTGACAAAGAAAAAAACTGTTTTCGATTTCTTATGTTTCGTTTCTGAGATATCAATTTTTGAGTTTACAGTATTACAAGGTATTATAAGGATGCATATCTCAGAAACGAAATATGAAAAATTGAAAAACTTTTTGCACATGGTAGTCAACATATTCAAAATAGTGTGAGTAAAATGAGATCCAAATTGACAGAACAGTATTCGAGATATTCAATTGAAACATGTTATATAATCTTCAACAAAATCTAACACACCATGTATCTAAATGAAACGCAATATTGAACAACTGAATTCACTAGTGAGTTATACCTCAGCATTCATTCAATCAACAGTATTAATCAATCCCTTTCTTTGTGATCAAAAACAAGCTGTCAATTGTTTTCAAAGGGGGGTATAACACAAAATTATGAAAATTCATATTTCGAACATAGATAGTTATAAAGAATCAAAATACGTTTTTGAAGCCTACAATAGACTAAAACAATAATGTCCCACCATAATATAGCTTATTGGTTTTGGAATAGTGCTTGAATTTTTTTCCGTAAAATGAATTTTTTGACCGTGCCTCGTATACACCCTGATTTACTATAATTAATGTGATCATAACTAGACATATATTTGAGTTCCGATCAATACATTTTCTAGCTTATTTTGTCTTATTTATACTGAAAAAACAGTTTTTTTCTTTGTCAATCCTACCCCGATACGACGTTTTTACGAACTTTGTCGGCTTATATCACAGAAACTAAACATACAAAACTTTTCAAATTCACATATTTTTCTAATGAGCCATCCCACAACGACGAAAATTTCAGCCAATTCGACCGAGAGCCAATTTCCACTGTTTTCGTGCGGGGTCCTTTCGGGTAAACAATGAAGTTGAAGAATTTCCAAACAATTCTTTCAACTAAAATATATTTTTCATTTTGTTGCTTCGTTTTCTATCACCAACCTCATGGGAATCGAACCCACCTACCGGCAATAAAACGTGGATAGAACATTGACGCTTCGACCACGAGGCTACGCTGGCCACTCACTATTAACGGCCAAAACGGCTCACATGTCCCTATCTCAACTCTTGATTTACTATTTACTGATATTCAATCGGAACAGATACAGGGTGGTTTAAGATTCAAAATTCTGATCAAATATCAGTAAATATAGTGGATCAAAAGTGGGTATTGGTACATGTGAGCCGTTTTGACCTATAATGAATAGTTTCGACACAAAACGAAAGTTGGAAAATCTCGATTTTGAATACCCTATATCTCTGTAATCTTTCTCGATAGACCCCAAGTGTGACATATCGATGAAATCAGTTCTTCAGGGAGAATCTATGAATGCGATAAAATACAGAGTGTTCCATTTGAAATATCAATGTTGCTACTACTTTCTAGTAGAATCGGCAACACTGTATTGCCATTTCTCCCGACTGAATCTCGATATAGAAGTTGATGTGCAGTTTGAACACCATCAAGTCATTTTTGAATTGAACATTTCATTTATCTTATCATATCTTCAATGTAATGAATGGTCCAAGACTGATCTCAGACTTCACCTAACCATGAACAAATGAGAAGAAAATTATTTGCCAAGTACAAACGCAAAAGTCGAAATAAACAATTATTAACTATTATTCCCAGGAACAAATAAACTTCAATTTCGTCCAGAACATAAGAAGCTTATTACCTATTTTATATTGTAGGTTCTCCTATGATATCAATTAAACAACTGGCATTTTCCATTAACTTACTCAAAGATCAATAACATTCATTACTGACACATTTAAAAATTACTCTACTCGTATAACTGGATCACTCTTATATTTGAATATCTATAAGAAAGTGAGAAGATAAAGAATAACATTACAAATAATATGAGAAGCTGCAGGTATTACAGGGTCAACCATTTACAATTTCAGTTTAGTTGTTGTTTTAGTAGTCCTATTGAGTAAATATATATTTTCAACTCTCCTACAATTATTATTTTTTTACACATTAGTGAAAGGTTTAACATTTTTAGGGTAAATTATAAACAGACTTAGTTGCACTCCAGATAAAATGCATCCAAGTAAATTTGGAACCTGAAAAATATTTCATTCTATTATTATCAAAGAAATTTTTGGGTGAGTATACGTGGGTGTCAGTATACTGGGTGGGATATCAAATTTATTATTTTTTTTCGCTGAAATAATGTCTCCTGCTATACATCCCAAAAAAAATCACTGTCTTCACAATTATGAAATATAAGAGAGAATAATCATGATATCATTTGATGCAAACATGCCTGATATAAAGAAATGCCAGGCTCTTAAATTATACAGGGCAGCTGATAATTATTTTTCAATTTGGAACTTTTTGAAGTGATTTTTATCCAATTTTTTAATGGCCATTGGATGTGAAATCCAAACAGAAACATATTTTATCTCAACATCCACATTTATATTCCTAACCATTTTTGAATTATTAAACTTTGAAAATTGTAGGTTGTTTTAATTAAAAGTGGAATTAGAACCCCACTTGATATCTACCAGTTGAAACTATGAAAATGACATATTTACTAAAGTTTGTTTTCAAGAAAATTGCAACATTAAGTAATTCACAATTGCTGTCATATACCCTCTAGATGTTATCAGAAGTGGAATTGAAATCAATATTTACATCACAGTCTACATCAACATTTTATTTTGTTGAGGTAAAATCATAATTAATTTGACTCTCACCAATACAGATGGAATAAAATAAAGTAATCAAAGATAATGATGTAAATGAATAAATATATGTAAAAACCTCAGTAAAAACCAAGTTAGTACCTATACCAAAATAATGCCCACTTTTAACAATGGATTTCATGGTCCTGAAAATACTCACCTGAATGAATGGATCTTTTAATACCAGTCCATAAATCAACCACTGTATAGAAACTATGAAAGTAGCAAAAATCAAATGGTAGGGTAGGCTGTCTGTATTCTTGACTCTAATAACATGCAGAAGAGAAGTAAAAGGAGCTGCAAAAAACAGTATTGTTACTCCACTACAGACTAAACCTAAGTGAGATCTTGCTCCTTCAGGGCTCTCTGTATTATGAATGTACAGTAATGCAATTATCTGGAAAATTAAACATCCTGTAAATTGTCGTACCACTATGGTCTGAAAAGAAAAATAAATATTAAGTACATCAATTATATGTTCCACCCAGTTCTCAAATCATCACCTTTTTAATACTATAGAGATAAAAAGTCACCACATATGCAAAAAACAGAGTGGCTCCCACAGTGTTGACCAGTATCAGAGATCGATCTTGGATCAAAAACCCATATCTGAGCCAAAGTGATGTGGAAAGGCAACCACTAACAAATGGAAATGATGATATATCACCCGTGCTTTTATTCTGTACAAATTTTTGGCAAGTGAAACTGCAAAAAAATCGATTACCATACTGTATTATAAGAATAAGAGAAAAGCTTGTTCTCAAGGAATCTCTGAAGATTTCAAAAAGAAAAATCCTGTAGTAGGTAGGTACTCACATTCCAGTTAGAAACTGTAGAATTGTGCATATGGAAGCTGTGGTAGCCAATATATTTTTGAAGTCTGCTTCGTTCATCTTTTCTATCACACTAGGTTGAACAGTTGAAGAGAATTAACGAAAAATGATCATAAAATAATGCACTCATACTTGCATTCGCACTTGAAATATATTTGACATTTTGATTTTGAGGTTATTTGTATTTGTTTATTTGTTATTACATCAACCAGTGGCGCAACAGCGGCGAGAAGGTACAAGATTGCCAAAAGGATTTATTTCCACCTGACTTTCGCCCAGACCAATGAAAACAATTAATTCTATTTTATTAGTAGTATTGTGTCAAGAGTGATACTTGTTGAGATCGCAAGACAAAACGAATTATCGTGAAAATGAAATAAATAATTCATAACTGAAAAATATCGGAAACGTCCTTGTAGCATAGATTATTGAAATTGTGAGCATTGAAGTTCCGTGGCCACCTCTCTAGTTTATCAATCTTGGGCAGGGGCGGATCTTCATAAGGACTTCTTGGGCTGAACTTAGAACTCACAGACCCCAGTGCCCTGTAGATACAAAGGGCCCACGGCCTCCATTAAAACAAAATGAAACAAATCATAATATCTAGAAATTCTCATCTAGTTTTTTGTGTGTCAAACGTCATAACACCTCTTTTCTTTCCTGAAAAGTACATTATTAGAAGACATTGGAAGAAAGACAAATAGTTAATTAGGCAGGGCATAGATTAATGACTCCCCCTCTATGGGCAGGGCTCCGAGTAGTTTTATTAGCCCAGGACCCATGAACTCATGGTCTGCTCCTGATCTTGATGGGAGCATTTATTTTTTCAAGGAAGAATAAAAAACAGATTTTTTTCTATATAAAAGATGTATTTAAAAATTTTAAATTCATGATATAGTACAACTTTACAAAAAAATTCAGTATAAAAATGGGGAAAAAATTGATCATTTCATATTGAAAAAAGACAAAAGTATACATTATACCTCAGTGGACGTCAAGCCTCCCATAATTTCCACATCTACCATCATGTACCTGTGACCTCAACTTTTAATTTTCAATATTTCCTACTTTTTTTATTAAGGTCATTTCTCTTTTATAGCAGCAAAATTAACCAGATTAGATTTTATTTAGATAATACCTATAGATTTGTTAATATGTTCCTTTGTATTATTCAAGATTCCATAACTGAATTTGTATAAAATTAGTAATAAACTTACAGCCACCTGAATACAGTGTCATTATCAGTGTCTTATTTAAAAAACAAAAAGTTGAGGTTACCTATATAATAATGCTGAGACCATATGCAGAGACAGAGGAGTACCTAATATAAAAAAGATGACATTCAAAAATTTCATGACATCATAAAATGACTAATACAGCATTGCCCATCCTGCTAAATTTGATTTATTATCTATGGATATTTCTGTTAATTGCACTTAATAGGTATAGTTTGGAATCCAGTTCAAATTTCACCTATACTTAGGTAATACCTATCCAACATAAATTAATCAAAAAATTGTCACTTTGAAATTCAGATCTAGCAACTTTCCCATCTTTTTTATGCACATACATAATTACCAATAACTATTTCCTCTAAAATCAGGTTTGATATGTGATAGGCAAAGGCAGAGATACATTAATATTATTAATATCATAAATATGAGACTCAATAAAAATCCTCAGGGTAAAATCCATTACCTGGGAAAAATTGATAAATTAAAAAAAAAAATGATAAAACTTCACATACCTACCTACTCATAAAAAAATATTGTGTTTTTGGACGGAATTGACAAAAATCACTGTGGTAATGTAGTAGAAAATTCTTCTACTGCTTGTTAAATACCTTCATTTAACAAAAATCCCCTTCATTCTTGATCAAAGATTTGTGGGTTATGAGTAGAGACCCAGAAATACTATCACTGCTGAAACTAATAATATTCTGTGGTCCAAAAAATTGTTCTTACTTGCTCCAGACTGAAAAAATAAAATGAAGTTATGCATGTGAAGCCACTGAACCAAATTGATTTCTAGTAGCTTACAATTATGTAATAGTTACATCTGTCTCCTTTACAACATTCAGAACACTTCCAGTCCTGGTACCAGATATGAGTACAAGTGCCCATGTTGCTACTTCTATATTTTGCACACTTATCTTTTGTTGAACATCTTTTTGATATGTAATACTGTTTCAGGGCACCCTGTTGCCAATAAGGTGTACTTCCCCAACTTATTTCAGACAAACATACGTCTTCTCCATAATTACAGGTTTGTATTGTGGTTGCACATTTCCCATGGTTGTCCTCTTGATTGTCACAGACATAACATTCTAGTGATACAGCTAGAAGGGAAAATGTACAAAGTAAAATTATGTTTCAGATCTTCTTGGTCATTTCTTACTTAGTTTAACTGTTATGAGAATCACGATAAATGATAAGGCAATGTATTTGATCATCGTTCTGGTGACTAAATTATGATTAACCCAGAAGAAAAAGACACACCTTATTTTGGTAAATTAATATTGTTTATTTACATGTGAATGAAAAGTATGTATTAGTACGTAGTGACTATGGTTATGTCAGTCGTGAAAGAAACTGAAGGTAATCATAAAAAAATATGTTAGAATGTTTACTTTAGCCTCTAAGAAATAGGCGAATTGGCGAGTGCACAATCTCTAAATATCATTTTGTACAAGTACACGGTACACGATGAAAAGTTGAAAGGTGACCATTGAGCATTGAGCTCATCAATCTCATTTTGAGAACATTAGCAAGCTTTGTTCACGGTGAACGGCCTTCGAGACAGGGTTTATGAATGAATGAAGTTGACATTTTTCTCGTTAAACAGTTGACTTTGACAATTGACACAAATGTCTCTCGCCAGTCATTGAATTAGTAGCATGCTGCATAAAACTTCAATGTTATCAGATGGTTATGGGGGAAGGAAAATATCGTTTCTGCATAAAAAAAAAAATGCTATCCTAACTGACCTCATGCTGAATCGACCTTTTTCCTGAAAAGTATATTGTTCGAATGCTCGTGTCTAGAACCACGCGAAGGTATATTTTATTTTTCGAATCCTTTCACGCGAAATGCGTCATGGAGGTATATAGACGTGGAGCACTAAGCTTCCTTTTCATTCAAGGTGATTTCGCGTGGAATATCCCTTCATGATAAATCCACGCTAAGTTCGAGCGGATTATTCCCTCGTGATTGGGTCAGACCGTCGCTGATGTCTATCAGTAATAAGTGCTTATTTCGCGTCAATTTCATTCCTTTCCTTCATCTGTGTTCATAACAAGTCGAATATGATAATATGTAATACCTCAAAGGCTCACGACTTGTGAGTACAGAAATGGCAATCCCGATACTCATTAATCTCCACTCTTCAGTTTCCAATCATTTTTATCGACATCTTTTTTTTCAATTCCTCTTAATTCCTTCTCCCCTGAAGCCCAACCTCTCCATCTGGGAGGACAAGCCGCGGATGCTCGGCAGATTGAGCATTTTGGTAACATATTTGTTCTCATCACTCAGATGCGACACAGTTTTGTGGACATCTGACTGCAAGGATGGGGCAATTTGAAAACATTAACGAGGCTCTGGCAACCTAATCCAAGTTGTGGGAACCCGTGACGTGGGATGAATGGCACTAAGGTTATATGATGTCGATAACAAGACATCTGAAGAACAGGGCGACATCTCAGAGTAAACAGCCCTAGCCCTGTGCAGGGGGGAGCACAGAGCTCGACCAACCCCTATTACTCGTAGGAGATGGAAAACTTCTGGCCTTCTTTACGGAGGAAACCAGGGCTTGGTAGAGTAGTCTTCAGGAATCTGAATGAAGAGGGTCTTTCAAACGAACAACTGGTACTGTGAGCAGCAGTGCTCACAGTTACTGTGGCGGCATTCGAAGTGGCCCTAATGTAAGAACCATGGGTCGTATATTATGGTTAAAACAATTACGGCATATATTCGAAGTGAAACAGTACAATGGCGAACACGCCTAAGTGTCATCGGAGATTTCGGCCAGACGAGTCTTGAATGGAGGTGGAGTACGTATTTAGTGAGTACACCTACATATTCCCACACTCTCATGTAAGGATGGTCCTTCGTGATGGCGTCCATGAAGGATTTTGACCACCTCCAAAAAAAAAACGAGTCAGAACCTATAATCTCACATATTTCATAACGAGAGCATCCTTAACCTCGTTACCACCGACACTTTTGGTGGTAACGGTAACCTCCGTCCCGTCTTTATCCGATTTTATCCACTATCTACTATTCTGAGCGGTGATTTGGGGCGGTAGCTTCCCGGACGTTTTGATAGTCCTTGGCCGATTTTGGTATTGACACCACAATGAGTTATCAATGTAGTGTACTTGAACCAGAGCCTTACGAGACACATTTTTCAGGAGAACTACGTCTTTCTCATCGAGTCCCGGAGCCTCATTGTTGATTTTTTTTGGTAAATATCCAGGAAAGTAGTTGTTTTTTGTTGAATATTCAGAATGATATTATGTGCATATATCTTCATATGATGAAGGATGCAAATTCTTTACAGAAGATTTTGTTCTCAAATTCTTAACGTTCATTAGATATAATTCAATGTTCGTCGTGGCATATAGCCAGGAAAGTAGTTGCTTTCTGTTGAATAAACCGAGAAAGAATTGATATTTTCATCAGATAGAAAATGCGAATTCTCAATGTATTTCTTCATATACAGGATGATAATTGAATGTCAATATTCGAGGAGGCGATTCTTGGGCCTATCTTAACTTTTGAGATACAGGGTGTTGAAGTTCTCAAAAATTAATATAATAATGAGAAGTTATTATAATTGTTTCCATAATTATCACAACAACTCAACAACAACCAGCACAGCAGAATGTTACTATTTGCATAACTGGCGAGAGACATTGGTCTAAAACAAGTGAGATGTTTACCAGTGACATTACTGACATTTGTCATATGCTCATATGCTGCTGATTTGTTGATTTTTTGTATTTTGACGTTCAATAAACACTATTTTTGATTTGAAAACTCTTGTTTTGTTAAATAATAAAAATAGCGTTGAATAGTCGATTGCCTTTCACATTGGATTAAGTTTCTTCTACTTTCGTATAGTATGCTTCAATGAATAGTAGTTCTCCATCTGATTGTCAGTTCAATTCTGTTGAATATGAATTGAAGATGATCCCTATGGAAGGTATCTTGTGGAAGTGGACCAACTACTGGAATGGTATGCAAATTCTTTCAATATATAATTCTGAAACTCAAAGTTGGGGTGAAATTCTACCTCAAACATACTCCCAGGAGAATCATTTGAGTAGGAAACAGAAATGCACCCTTGGGTATTTGTACCTACCAAGGTACTTACCTAGTGAACATTGGTCTTTGTCAGTTGAAATGATACTCATAATATTCTTTATAGGATGGCAAACAAGGTGGTTTGTATTAGAGAATGGTGTTTTGTCTTACTACAAATCTCAGGATGAGGTTATTCAAGGATGTAAAGGTTCCCTGAGGGTACTAGCATGTGAAATAAATGGTGAGAAATCACAATCAATGTGTTCAATCATTCCTTAGAACAGATAGCAAATCTTGAGAATATTCTTGAAACATGCAATACATTTTGACTAAGGAACTTGTTTGATTTCAATTCAATATACTCATTCATTTTATATCCTATCTTCTGTCCAAATCAGCATATATCATTGAGACTATATTTTTTCTTACTACCCTTTGTTCATTACAATCATGAAAGAAAAAAAAAATGTGCTGGGTGTCCATACAGGTATTATATTATGTTTCTGATGTATTTTCAGAGATCTGCTCTTTCTTTTCATTGGTTATAATGATGGAGTCAAATATTTTTTTCATTTTTTGACATAGTTTTTTGAATATTCTAGTGAGTTCTTTGGACAATACAAGAATGGATTTAGTCATTCCAGGGGAACAACATTTGTATCTAAGAGCTGCCACTTCCCTAGAAAGACAACAGTGGCTGGTAGCACTTGGAACTGCCAAGGCATGTTTCCAAAGTAAAGGAAAACACAATGGTTAGTTTTATAAAACTTGGAAATTATTATCCAATTGCAGATATTTATTTTCCTTTAGGAGGTATACATAATTTAGTCATGGCTGGCATTCAAAAGTCAATTTCTGTTCATTTATTGATTTACAAGTTTGATTTTTTTTCAGATGATTCTATCCCTGATGTACTAAAAACTAAGAAATCTGAACTTAGACTTTACTGTGACTTATTGATGCAACAAGTTCATGTAATAAAAAATTCAACACATTCTGATAAGGGGCCTGACATAGAGGTAAATGGTGAATTCATTATATTATTCTCCATATTATTGACAATAGTTGATGCCATCAAAATATCAGTATTGAATGGAATAATTCATATTGATTTCCCCCAGTAAATATCTAGTGAACCATAGATTAAGTCCATTAATCTATGAGTGAACCAAATTTATGTCTAGTATTATAAATTTCCACCAATTGGCAACACTGCTGTCAGGCATCTAGCTATAACAAGGAATCTTTGAAACATCAAGGTCAAGTGGCGTCACCCATATCAATAACAAATGATATTTCTTCCCTCTTCATATTGGGTAACTTGACTACTCTAGGACTACTACCAGTAAAACAATAGCTCAGTGGTCTGTGTATCTGACTTCCACAGCAGAAATATACCTACTTAACAGGAAGAAGGTTCATAATTGCCAAGTTAGGTTAAAAGTAGTTTCCTTATTCATGAAGTAAAAATATGTTCCTTCCTCATATCACCTTATAACCTTCTGATAACCTTGAGGTTTCAAAGATTCCATGCTTGTGCTCAAACATATTTTTCCATAATGGGTACACATGTTTGAATGTGTGATCATGGTATTATAACTCATTTGTTCAGTGTTCTTATTCTATTTTGAGTTTTATATACAGAGTATTTGGTTTATTGACATATATCTGAAAAGGGGTGAAAGGTAAGAAAATTTCTCATTTCTCAATTTCTCAACTCATTATTTAAACATAATTGTATAAACACATATTACTATTATACAAACTGTTATGCATTTGTCAAACATTTTATCTGATTGCATCTGCTTTTCTTGGGTAGTTGGATATGTATTTCATCAATATTGAACAGGTAATGGGATCCAAATGCAATTAAAAAAAATTATTTGCTCTCCTATTTGCTCCTCAGAATTATAAAAATAATTTTCTATGACACTTTATTCAACATCACATAACCTACCACATCCTTCCAGATATACGTCGATCAACCAAACACCCTGTATATTAGATTTTTTTTCTGACTACATAACCCCCAAAATTATTCTGGAAGTAGGTACCTAGTTGAATTTTTCACGTGTCTGCTGAAAATTACAACATTTGTTTCTAAAAATTAGAGAAAGTCAATACTCTGTATTGCATTTTAAATTCATAGCTACTTTTAGCTAAGCTGAAAACTTTTTAGGAAGCATGATTTAGTATCATGAATTTTATTGTTATACAGGTAAATGAGTCAAAATTCGTGAGATTCGCGGAGATTCACATTCATTATTCTTTATCAAGCTATTTGGAAATTATTTTTTGGTTTTCTATCATGAATGACATCAGACTAAAACTAATATCCTGCTTGTTCCTTTAATTGTAAAGCACATTGCATAACAACTCAAGCTGTGTAATATTTTTCATCTACAACTACATCTCATTTCCTTCTAGGCATAGTATATATTATGAGAGTACATTTAATTTCACAATTTAACTTACTCACCTTTCATCACTACTTGAAACTTGATTAGTAAACTGATAACAACTATCTTATAAAGGAAACTTCTCGTGAAACTTATATTTTCGAGAAATAAAACTTTCTGTCATGACATAATATGCACCATTACACTTCAGTATACTTAAGTATAATTTCCACAAGTGAAAAATCTCAACTGAAGTAGATTTTTTTGAAGAAAATGGACGATGTCACTAGACTTCTGGGTGCCACTTGTGATACGTTTATCAAGACCTTGGAAGAGTGCATGACCCTATCAAAGGCTAATATGAATTATGAGTTGTCCGCTAAAACTGATGATATCCTGCCTGTTCCATCCATTAGAAAGAAGAGCATCCAACGCATCAATTCCCAGGACTTGTGAAATTAGAACAATTTCTTTTGAACTTGTTTATATTAACTGAGCCAAAGAACTTATTTTTATGCAACTCCTGATATGTTCAACTTGTGTTGAACCATATAGTTCGTGGGAGGTGCAGGAAAAATCTAGTTACCTATCTGATAAGTTTAATGTTGAATGAGTCAAATCCTTTATTATTTACACTTATATGAGATGGTCCACTTCCATATAAAATGTTGAAGCCAAATTGGGCCTTAGTTCTGGTTCGTAGGCGGCGCTAGCAAAACTGCAAAATATGGACGAATTGTTTATACTCTCAGAATCTGCTGGAGTTCATCTATCATCTATCTACAAGTTGCTGAAATATCTAGAAATATTCTTTCTTAGACAGGAAAATCACTAACTTTGATATTCTGAAAGCTTTTCAATAGAAATGTTTCAATCTAGCTCTGATGCAACATTCCTTCTCATTACAGATCTCTATATCCTCCACTACTCTACAAAAAGTAGTTCAGCTTATATTTCATAGATACCGCCATCTACTGAATAGAACAAGGTTGGTAGAACTGATGATTATTTGTCATTGCTTCATATGAATAGGGATTGTTCATCTTGTTAGTGTAAATAATTGAGAGACGAATTGAAAATCGCTTCAAGTCATTTCACTTATGTTGATCACCGGATTGGCACCGAAGAATTTAATGAAGTTATAAATATCCACATCTATTTCAAATCATTGGTCATTATCACTGACATAAATACCATATCAGTTAAGTCAGTCTCCCAATTCCCTTTGATGTTCAGAGTATATAAGCAATGATAGCCTCATTAGGGTTGGCGCAATGACGGGTAAATATCTAGACTGTATGACGTCAGAAGGTCTAGATATTCAGCCGTCATTGGTCGGCGACAAAAAATTATCACACGCGATCACCGCGTAGAATTCTACCAGTAATCTTTCAAATGTTTTATCGCTGATAGTTTTACTTGGATTCAACATAATAAATGATAACTGATTTATCATTATTCATTATATTGAGGAGAAACAAGGAATGAAATGAATATATGTGACAAAATAGTACCCTTATTTCAACATAATAATGAGCTAAACGTGACTGATAGTATGCACAGTATGGTGATATCCGAAACCGAGTCCGAAACGATAAGGGATACAGATTTGGTTGAATTTTGAGATTTTGCGCATTCATGAGTTGAATTGAATGACCACCAAACTTTCTCGAAATCATTGGATATTTTTCGAAATCATTGAAATTTTTTCGATATCTATCATATCTTTGCAGATATATAGATTTGGTGAAATTTCAAGAAATTGCGCATTAATGAGTTTGATTGAATGGACATCAAACTTTCTCGGGATCATTCGACATTTTTTGAAATCATTCGTCATTCAATCGTCTTTATTTTGAACATTGCTCAACATTTCTTAATATCTCATTATCCTGATTCAAATTTATGTTCATATTCTATACCAAAAATCAACCGTTTTGAAGTTCCTGTTTTTCTAAATAAATTGACAAATGCAGCCTATCGATCTTACGATTCTTACGCCGTTTTTATGTGAATTGAAATTCATATGCGGTGATTTAATCGTGAATATTGAATGTTGAACAGATAGTATAGTATAGTGATTGCAGAAGGGTTCAACCATTGTCGATCTAAATGAAAACCTAGTAGGCGACCTAGTACACGAGGAGGCATAGCTCTTGCCTACTAACTACCTAACTTGATTGTCATCTAGAACGACAACGGTTCAACCCATCTTAGTAGAAGTAATACCTCCCTATTGTAACCATGACAACGCCAGACATGCGCATACAAATTCGGTTCTGGTAAGAGGCATCTGGACGTTGGGTGATCTATGCCAATATAAGGTGTCCTCTCACTTGATATCTTGGTAATAAAGCGATACCAGCTGACTGTTGAATTTAAGCTTGTGATCTGACCCATTTCACTACTCACTAGGCAACTAGATTCTTCCTACATTGATATGGTGATTTGGTTGATGTGGTTATCACTTACTGTAAATTCGAAATTTTTGTTAATCACAAAAGGCCAAGAGAATAAAATCATAAGGCTGATTGATATTTGAGTTTTTCAATATTTATTCATGTTTCAACAGTATTCGTTTATTGTATGTTCGTTTATTCTATATTTTCTATTAATTTTGAGATCTGAGTGGGTGGCTGTCAGAATTTTTGTGTACCGATCGTTTAGTTTCACATTGAAATTGCTGAATTGAATAATGTAAAGGATATTGATCTTGATATTTACCTAAAGCCTCATGGTATTTTGAAATTTTCAACATCAAATATACAATGATATAAATACAGACAGTAAAAAGACAGCGATATACAAGAGTTGGTACAACTCGAGTTCTGTACCAAATTTTTTGTACGACTACATCCATTTCCTGTTTTGCACATTATATCTATTATATTATATCTACATTTATTCGAGGTGCACAATCATCGCAATTACTGACCTATCATCACTTCAAAGCATAAGTTTCATACATCTACCGGGACGTCATTCCATACCATGCTTTTCCGTCCAAAGACATTCTGTAAAGCACTCTGTATCATATAAAAGTGTAGACTAAACAAAATGTTGGTTCCTTTTATGTCTCAAACTCGTGTATTGAAGACTCGATAGTGGTATTTGCATTTGATATGTTTTAGTCATTTGGTATACCCACTCAGCCAACTATATTATTGTTTATAGAAATACATCAAGAATATATGTGATATATTTATATTTGACTCTGACTTTTATTTCTTATCTCGCCACTCCTAGCCCGCGTTTATATGCTGATAATTTTTCTTCGAAAAGTGTGAGTATTCTCATCAACACTTCATGTACCACAGATCTCATTATAGCCATGAGTCTGAGTCGCATCCCAGCAAACATTTTGACATGGGGCATTAATAGCCTAATGTATTTTCCCCATATCAGCGGCCCAGTAAATGTGTGTATATCAGTATACTGCGGCCGGCGCAGCTGGCCCCAGTGCTGGGTACCTAGCAATCATATATTCAGTTCCCCGGCAATAAAAGGCCAGTACAACATAATCGACACATTGAGTTTCCTTTATCAAGCGCAGCACATATACATAAATGATTTGGGACTCTATTGGCCAATTATCGACATTGGATACATACTTTCGAGGTAGGGGGAGGGGTTTCAGGTGTCCAATGGATATGAATAAAGTTCTAGTAACTATATTTTTCAATGTAACCCTCTCATTATATTATGTCGAATAGACACATACCAGATTTCAAGGAAACACTTTTTAATTACACAATGATGTCTTCTCAAGGTTTCTCTTCTTCCATGATAAAACTTCTCAGAGCGAGACTGCTTACCGGCTGGTATCTACATCTTATTTGAATAGCATTCCTTCGAAATGGATTCTTCGTTGCGAGATAGGTATTCCTGGAATATTGAATTCTTCATCAGTTATCAGTGGCCTTCAGAATTATTCCTCCATATATAGGAGCATGAGAAACAAAATACTGTTGCATGAGTTTATGACTTGATCGATATAGTCTGATAACATGATATAACATATGGAGCTTTTCAATTCTCATTATATTATTTTTGTCACAAGCATTTCTGGTAGTTGGAACCTTATTGGTAATTTACTTATATGGTGAAGACAGGTTTACATAACCTAAGATTACTTTTGATAGCAATGAACGAGCTAAACATGATAGTTATATATGCTTCTGGAGAGGTCCAGCCACTCCAATTATTATGATCACTGTATAGTGATGCATTACATGAAGACATTTGAAACAGTAGATAGATAGATCGATATATACTCACTCGATATTATCATAATTGAAGAATCCATCTTCTATATTATCAATTGAGAATACTCCTGCCATATACCAGGGGAAAAATGAGGATCACAATAATTCGACAACGAACCAGGGAAAACGGAACATACGCTATCACTAGAGTCACATATATAACAATGATCCAAATGATCAGCTGATTGTTGATGTAGACGTTCCCTGAACATCCATCAGAGGAACGAGTACTGAACAGAATATTGACCAGCAATGGGCCACAACTCGTTAGTGTTCAACTGGGACCAGACATCGTACCATCATGCAGAAGGCCATTATCGTATTTTTAACTGGTGGTTACTTAGCATAGGGAAATCATCGGACCATTACCAATACCCCGGCATCGTGACTTTCCCAGACTTGCCTGCACTTGACCAGACTTCTCCCGGTAGTTCAATGTTTGCTGATGGGATATAATCGATATATCGAAAATTACTTTACCCTTGAGCCGCCCATTACAGAAACCAGCATTGGATTCAAAAACAGGATCTGACGAAGTGAATGACAATGTATCTTTACTGGACTGGGAAAAAGAAGAGGATATTGTGATAGATATTTTTTTGTGGTAGGTAAGTATAAAACGAACATAACTGCTCTACTGCCGATTTACATCAGATTGTTCTAAAACTAACACGTCGAAGCCATCAGTCTGAGCGGAAGGCACATTCATAAAAAAATATGGGCGAATAAAAAAGGAACTTTTTACAGAGGTGATCATCATATGATTATGACTATGATTGGAAAATGTAATAAATAATGGAGAGTACATTTTCCCATGAGTCGTTGGAATGTTATTATGATCTAGCTGCGACTCATTTCACCAACACCAACAGGTACCATGAAATGTGATATAGATCCTGAAATTTGAATGAAAGATGATACGAAGAGGCATTACCAAGAAATGCTTTCTATGATTTATCTACTATACTTTCGGAGGTGAATTAGCGATGTCGAAAGCGAAATGGTAACGGAAAGGGGTGAAAATTAATCAATCTTAACGGACGGATGCTGTTAACATTAACTTTTCAATTATCATCTGAATACCGTTAAATCGAAATAACAGTATGGGCGATTACGAAAAATATATAATACAGCAAGGTGTAGGTACTTCCAAATATAAATATTGTGTATTCCGTTGATGATTCAAATTGGATTCTAACGATTTATTTTCCAATTACTGCTATTGTTTTTGTCTATTCTTCAAGAGACTTCTTCTTGCTGATAGCAGTCGACTACTAGCTTCACCAAATTGACTTCCTATTGGTTTTTCTTCATTATCGTTATCTGATTCTTCTAGGGTTTCCATCGTATCTAAAATCAATATTCTCTATTAACATCATCATCTTGGATACACTTGAATGTTAACTAGGGATATAATGGTTATACAGGGTGATTCAGATAAGGCACACACCAGAATGTGTGATAGATCTCATCATTTTAATCAAAAAAAGTTTATGTTAACATGATTCCGATCTCGATCAGTAGCGGAGCTACAAGAGGTCGAAGAGTAATTTTTTTTACTATTAATTGGACTATCTTATTGCTCTCTATTGAAGTTATCAATTTTAAATTCAGTGAGGTAGTATTATTGCTGTCTAGAAGATCATTATTTAAACTATTTTGAAGATTTTCAAAATCAACTGAGCGAAACATTTTTGGAGGTACAGGCTCCTTTATCCCCCACAAACTTTTTCGTTTTACCTTTTTTTTCATTAACATCATCTAGTCACCGGATTATGTGAATTGTTCAATGTACAGACTTTTATTTTTTTTTATCGCTTGGAGCGCATGAAAAGGAATCCCTATAATGTTCGAAGAACATCGTGCGTTCCTCGTGCGTTGCTCTTCAACTAAGCATATCCGTTCTAAACCATGTCCCTACGTTCTGCTTGAATTTTATTCGCTTGGAGAAAATATAACCTTTACCTTCTACTCTTTGTAACCCCGCTACTGATCCAGTTTTTCAATTTCAGTACATTTCATTGTATTTTCTACCAATTTCGTCGAAAAGTATTTGAGCGAAACAATATAGGAAAAATTAACATGTTTTTAGAACGGATATGCTTATTTATTTAGAAAACGGTTGGTTTATTGAAATAAATGGAGAGGCGAAAATAGCCTCTGAATTGAACTATATATTCAGGAATCTCTATTAGATGCTTCGAATTATGATCCTCTAGGAACCACACTCAAATTCTACTTTATATCTTTAGAAGTGAGCGAGATATATTATAGTTAATAGAAAAAAAAAATTTAAGTTTAACCCCCTGTAGCTACGTTTCTGATCGAGATCGGATTTATGTTTACATAAACTTTTTTGATTAAGATGATGAGATCTATCACACATTCCAGTTTGTGCCTTAAAACCTGAATCACCCTGTATAACTGGTTTAGTGAATTACCTACTCCTGATAATGTGATGAAGATAATATCTACCTACACGCCTATACATATTATGTAGGCGAGTATAGGTATTACCTATATGAAAATATTGGTTTGCACTGGAAGCTTTTTTACACTAAGAGTATATATACTGTAACTGTACCAAATATACCGTAGTTTTTATTTACCTTCTACCACTATTTCTGTTTTGTTTTCCAATTTAGAGATTCGTTCAAGAACCTGCACCAAATGTTTGCCCAACTTGGAAGTATCTTTCACTTCCTCGTAACTTGTTTGAGCAATTCTCAATTTGTCCTTCTCTGATTTGGCTAATGATGTCCTCAGAAGGTAACATAATGAGGAGTCCATAACATCTTCCCAATTCTGGAAGAAATTAAATGATGGTCAGCACAGAGTAATCTCTTCAAAATATCATATCAATAGAATGATTTATCAATACTTGTCGTTCAGTTCCCGCAACGATTTTGTCGAAATACAAGGATTTGAAAAATATAACATTTTTGAATTTTTTCCTTATGAAGATAACGTCCTATATCTCAGTTTTGAAAGACTGGCGGTACACAAATCATCTGAAGGCTATGGCCTGTTTCATCGAAAATTTAATAAACGTGGTCCATTCTCATTAGAATTCCCACAATGGGCGTGTACACCTTAGTAGAACTTTTAACTCAAACCATGTTTATAATGATCCTTTTATACATAAATAATGATTGACGACATAATTCGATCGGAAAATTAACTGAAATGTTTTATTTTTGGAGATAAATGATAGTACCTTCTGAAAACAGACCCTCTTATGACGTAAAAACCTCATGTCACCATAGTTAAAAGAAAATACCAAATGCCCGACGGAGACTGAGGCAACTGATATATTAATTCTTTCAACTGTGATCTCGCGCTAATTCAATCTGTCAGAAATCATGTATCATTCATCTCTGTCTGGAATAGTCTTGTTTCATTATTAGGGTTTTGACGTCACATCATCGCCTCGTTTTCAGAGGTCCGAAAAATCGGGGATTTCAATAATTTTTTATAAAACGTAGGAAGCTCACAGCAAGAAACGGTTTGCGGTGGTGAGCTAGTTTTGGTGAGTTCTATCGAATTATGAAAAAAAATTTTTTTGTGATATAAGCCCATATTCATTACACAGCACAAGATTTCCATTTATACTCTCCAATAGTTCTTGAAATTATATTTCAATACTGAAGTTCATGAAATTTATTGGCAAAATCAAACAAGTTTGAATGAAAAAGAGCGGGACTTCAATGAATCTGAACATTCAAAAACACTATCAGTTGTTATTTCTATGTTCGAACTCTTATCTAACTGATACCATCCAGTGACTCTAAGTACAGGGAGTGTAAATATTCACTCAATGTTTTTTTTCGACTATAATTTCGGCATAAAATATTCTCACCAAATCCCGTGCATTGATTAGTTGCGGGAAATTTGTCTCGTACATGCATTTTTAAAGAAAATTCATGTACTCGAAAAATTTCCTGCAATAATTCATTCCCTAGGGGGATTGTAATTGAAAATATTCGAAAAAAAATGACGTAGAATATTTGGAGAATGGAAAACCTGAAGATATCGAAAGACTTGCTGACTTATGCGGGGTTCACAACCATATTCTTTTTACGTTTTGCTTTTAACGTCTCGTATTCGATTGGTGAAGCGGAATCTGAAATTAAACGTCAATTAAACTGAAGCCAATATCATTCTCAACATAAAACATCAATGTGAGTTTTTACGGCTTTTCTCAGTTGCCTCGGTTTTGTCACTTGTGCTTCATCCTGAAATGAAGTGAAATAATCACAACAATAAAATTTATTAAATAACGAATAATATTCATGAGTACTACCGGTCACGTGAATTGCTCCTCAAAGGGAAACATCAATCCTAAAAAGGCATATATTGGGTGAGACACTGAGGTGTGGTGTGAAAAAAGGTTGAGTATTGAGTATTTGTCTATTCTTACCATTTTCCTACATCGTTCCATTTTCACACGAAGTGGCATCTTGCAACGCCAGAAGCTGAAAATATTCAGCTTTTTGCGTCATGTCCATTCCAGATTTTGCTTCACCTATCAGAATACGAAACGTGAAAAGCAAAACGTTAAAAGTTTGGTCGTGAACGCCACTTTACGTGTTTTCACTCTCAATCCTTTCCAATTCCAAATGACATGATCGAGAAGCAGAAGTATATTTATCAGCTTTTTGGTGGACAAAAAATAATGTCAGTCCCCATTGGTGCAGCTCGAAATTGAATAATGTGAGCTAAAATGTTCAGTCGTACATTGATAATTGAAATCCAGACTTGATTCAGAATCGTACCCAGGTGCTGCATTTGCTGAGTATAAATATTGGAAGACTCATTGGTGCATAATTTTCTTCAGAAAAAATGAAGCTTACTTGTGATTCCAAATCTTGCACGTTAGGAGAGAATACGGACTCTAAAACCCCTTTGCTATTTTCATCCATGTCCATAACTTTCACTAAATTCACCACCAAATTCAGTGCACAAGAGAGGCTCGATTGAGCTCTGGAAAGTTCCGAATTGGCAACCTCTAATTTTTCAGTCACGTCGACTATTTCGGAATGCGTGTCCTTTAATAAGATTTGCAAGTTGGTCAAAGGGCTCGGGTTTTTCACTCTCAACTTTGCTATCAGCCGTTTCTGTACAATCCTAAATTGAGCACTCAGTTGGGCCAAGTCTTCCTAAAAAGGAATAGATTGGTACGAGAGCTCTACACAATTCTAGAAAGCCACTTTCATAAGGACATTTTGTTAGGTATTTGTTTTGAAGTCATTATGTTTCAATGTATTTTTACAAAAAAACATGATTTTATAGATTTGAATATAATACTTCTGAACAGCTTTTTCTAGTTATCTCCAGTAATTTCCAGAATAATGTTCATATTCTTCGAGAGGTAATCCTGCAGATAAGAATAAGAAAAAATGTTTCCATCAACATATCTCCAGAAATAATGCTACCTTACGGCGCTACAAGTACTTAAGTAAATAAACAATTTCTTTGATTATCTTTATTGCTACCAATGATCTTAGAATCACGAAATTTTGTTACATAAGGAATATTCCTTGATCTTACAAATCGTTTCTTGGTACGGAAAACATGATTTAATATACACCAATGCATAAAAATGCCTCAAGTATTTTTGTTTCACGTTGCATCCAATTTTCAAAATCAGAATTTGAATCTTCAAACACTTTTACATAAAAAGGTACTTCGACTTCTGTTAGAATGTCATAAAACGAAACGAGAAAACTGTCATTCCTCTATAGTGATTAAGTTTGTGGAATGCGAATATTTTTACAACGAATCAACATCTTGAACTCACTCTATTATAAAACACTATTAAAAAACTACCTTGAATCGCAAGGTTTTGATCATTGAGTACCACTTTTTCGATCATGAAAACAAACGCCCGAATTGGTACATTTTACGGCATTCTATTAAAAGTATATTTTTTTCCATTTGGAATTGTTCGAAGAATCATATTCTGGTATAGTAAAAATGGGTTGAAACGTGAAAAAATAGGACATTACAATAGCATAGGTTACGAGTTTCGTTCCTCCTATATTTCTTCCGTACCACGAAACCATTATTAAGATCAAATTACCCTTTAGGCACCAGATTCCGTAATTCTATGGTGACAAATATAATTAAATAAAACTGACTTTAAAGACATACCTTCGAAGGGCTTTTCTTTCTTATCTTATTTCAATTAATTATATTCTAGGAGTTGACTCGTAGGAAACACTAAAATAACGATATTCATTGATGACAGAGGGCATCACCTGAATACTTGAGTGGAAAACCAACAGTCCTATTCACTAAACTAGATCTCATAACTAAGAGATCTAGAATGAACAGCGAGTTTCTAGATAGCAGCGTCATGCTGTGTATGACATGGCTGCAAGGCCCTACCCATATAGTTCTAGACGTCTTGGGGGCGTCCATTTCAGGTCCGATTTAAGTCTGAACGTCCAAGACCTTCTCAAGACGTATTGACCACGTCTATTTCTAGACGTACCATTCCGATGTACTGAGCTCGTCCAACTCTGGACGTTATCGACTTTTTGTGGACGGAATTGAATACATTATTGTATAATGATTTATTTGAAATCATTGCATATAATTTTCACCCTCAATCTCTGATATCTATTGCAATCATGAACATATTACAATTATCACAATTTATTATTTACTGGCCGTACCTAATCACAAAACATCTGTTCAATGCCGTGATCATCTAATTCTATGAAAGTATCGATGTGAAGGGTTAGTCGACATTCGCATGTAATCTCTTGTTGTTTACTGACATATCAATAAGTGTTCTGTAGAGTTAGTGATAGGAAGAGCATCTGCCCGGTAATCTAAAGGTCGCGGGATTTATCCCCCGAAGGTGAGTTTTTCTCAGTTTTACTTCAAAATAAGATTTTCTCTACTCTGTGCAGATTTATTTTTTCAACTATATGAGTAAAAAAGGGCGGACCTACGTTGTTCCGTGTCTCCATGGTCCTGAATGGACGTACGGGGGATGTACAAATGCGCGGAATCTGGACGTCTCCAGTACGTACGGAACGTCGTGGCCAGACGTTCTTAGTACGTTTTGGGGACGTACTCGTGCTATATGGGTACCTAAGATCTAACGCTACTAGATGACAAGACTAGATCATCATGCAGTATCTGGTGTCTTCGAAATGGGTGATATATCAAAAGCGTTGAGTGGTCCCGATTGTAAGCAGACCGAGAGTAGCCGACGGGGTCTGGTGGGCAGAAACAGTACTGTCTCTGAGTTATGAGATTTAGTTCAGTGAAGAACTATTTTCATCTACTAGTTGTGAAACTCCTTCATCGATAGTGACGACAGGGCGTTTCACTGCACGTCCTAGGTAACCCAAAAATCACTGTACGACTTTCAGAAATGTTCTGGTACATTTTTGGCAACTATCAGTGATTTACGTATACCCTCCTGAAAATGTTCAGGTACAGGCACAATTATATACTTCACAATATCCCTGCGAAGTAAAAGCTATGATGTCGCCATCATTCTCAACTTGATTCCCGATAAACACTAGGGGTGGAACGCCTTAAACCTGCTATCATTATACACTAGACTGTCATATACGCCATTTTTCTTTCGCCCCCTTAGATAGATTAACCTTCATGACCCAAACAGAACCAAACTTCTTTAAGAACGGTTCTGAACTCCCATTTCTAGATCACCTCAAACTTCCAGACCAGTTGCATTTTTTCGAAATGTCGGTCAACATTGGGAATTAGCTCGTTAGCAGGCAGACTGGAATCGAGGCGCACTTTAAAGTCCTCCGACCCGGAATATTGCCTGCACCCAGGCCCTGATTAAGAGTTCTGACCGCCCTGCACCGGCTGCACCACCGAAAAATCAACTGTTCAATTGGGAGTGCAAGGGGCACTAATGAGTTTGCCTGGTGCAGAGTCCGTTCAGACGACTTTCATCTCTCTTTGATAATGAATTCAAGAACCGTTATCAGTATGTTGTTCTGATTTCGACGGAAACCATTCATTTATTTTTTATCTCTTGAAAACATCAAACAGAAGTCGTGTAGGAACCTGATATTTGGTTCCGATAGCGGGTGGTTGATAGTATCAACGCATATAACGTCTCAACTAGGACATCCTCAGTTGTTTTGTGAAATTATGTAAGTGGCAAAGTTGGATGAATCTCTTTTAGTTATGCAGACTCTAAGGATGTTCATACAACGGAGTTATGTGACGAATTACAAGCTACATAAAAAGTTGCCAACAACACTACGCCAGAAGAAGTTTCATCTACAAGAACGTTCCTGAACTCTCATCTCTAGCTCACTCACCTCCAACTTTGAGACCTGTTGCCGTTTTTTCGAAATGTCGGTCAACATAAAGAATGAGCTCGTTAGCAGGCAGACTGGAATTGAGGCGCACTTTGGAGTCCTTCGTCCCGGAATATTGCCTGCACAACCGGAAAATCAACTGTTCAATTAGGAGTGCAAGGGACGCTAATGAGTTGGCCTGGTGCAGAGTCCGTTCAGACGACTTTCATCTCTTTCTGATAGTGAATTCAAGATTGTAATCAGTATGTTGCTCTGATTTCGACGAAAACCATTCATTTATTTTCTATCTCTCGAAAACATCGAACAGAAGCCGTGTAGGAACATAATATTCGGTTCCGGAAACGGGTTGTTGATAGTATACCGTAGGTACCTGCTAATTCAGTAACTGCAATGAGGGTATTGCTTACTCTTCCTGTGTATGAGGCCAATGGTGAGCGCAGTTTTTCTGTATTGAAACTCATCAAAACGAACCTGCGCTCGCGATAATGACTCGATACATTCATGTGGAATTGTCAACTTCATCTGTAGAGCAAGTGAAAGCTGAAACGGTTGATTTACTTTTATGAACCAACCAAAACCAAATCCCAAGTATCTAGGATCAACAAATATATATCACAATCTGGACATCCTCAGGTGTTTTTGTGAAATTATGTTAGTCGCAAAGTTAGATAAATCTCTTAGTCATGCAGACTCTAAGAATTTTGATGCAACGGAGTTATGTGACGAATAACGAAAAAGTAGCCAACAACACTACGCCAGAAGGAGTTTCATCTACAAGAACGTACCTGAACTCTCATCTCTAGCTCACTCACCTCCAACTTTGAAACCAGTTGCCGTTTTTCGAAATGTCGGTCAACATAGAGAATGAGCTCGTTAGCATGCAGACTGGAATCGAGGCGCACTTTAAAGTCCTCCGTCCCGGAATATTGCCTGCACAACCGGAAAATCAACTGTTCAATTAGGAGTGCAAGGGACGCTAATGAGTTGGCCTGCACTCTGTAGCGTTCGGACGACTTGGCTTGTAGGATTGTTCCGGTGATCTCGGGGTTCGAGATCAGTTGGAAACCGATGGAACTGGATGTCTGGGTCAGTGAGGCTTCTTCAGTGAATTCTGAGGGAACACAAAACTCATGAACGTAGAACGTAGGTATTCGGAGGGAAAAATATGTATGTATGCATGCGCTTCAAAAATTGGTCCTCCTGACTGAAATAATGGTTAACCGGTAATACTGATATAAATACGTTTGATCATGTTAGTGATTTAGTCGCATAATGCTATATTCTGTTTTATACGTAATAATAAGAGAGCCGGCTGCAAATTTCTACCGTCATCTGATAACGAAATGATATACAGGGTGTCCAGAAATTATGCGCGAAAAATCAAGTGGGTGATTCAACATGATAAAATCGGAAATTCATTTTATATGTACGTGGGTAAATAAATGCGCAGTTTTCCACATACAGTGTGTTGAAACTTTTAAAAAAGATCGTTTTTTTTATGAATATCTCGAATGTCGTTCCACCGATTCACTCGAGATTCGACAATGCTATATTTTGTCATGATGATCTAATATAGCCATAATTCAATTGAAAATATAAAATCCAGTGGCGTTCTGGGGGGCAACCTACTGAGTATTATTGTCAATAAAATGTGCGCCACTGATTTTCTTGAACTCTGTATCTTCATAACCTATTGACCAACTGAAAATACAACATTTTGGTCTCTTGAGTTGTTTAGATAATTTGCTTCATTTCCATGGAAAAAATAAATTCCAATTTATTGCATGAATTTGTGCAAACAAATTCCTTCAAAAACCGGGGTGAAAATAAATGCGTGATTAATGTCCATAGACAAAGAATGAGTATAAAGATTCATTTTTTTCGAATATTCCTTGATCCATGTTTGACACACTCAACACTCTGTATATTGAGAACTATGTATTCTCGGTCCACGAAGGCGTAGTTTTCGATAAAACAAAGTGTGTCAAACATGTATTGTGAAATATTCGAATAAAATGAATCTTCATTTTTATTCTACGTCTATATGGACATGAATCAAACATTTAATTTCACCCCTGTTTTTAAAGCAATGTTTTGCACAAATTTATACAATGAATTGGTATTTATTCTTTTCAGTGAGGGTTGCTGGGCTGTGTGCACGTGAATATATACCAAAGAAGGGAAGATTTGTATTTCGTGCAAGAATTTATTCAAATTATTCGTAGCAGAGCGCTTACGACTGTTAAGTCATCATCAGTGCGTACTCGTCAGGTTAACATGGAAATTCGTCCATAAAAATATCTTTTGTCCAGTTTAAAACTAACGACATTTAAGTAAAATACGTTACAAACAAATTAAAATATGTTTATCATGTCGCAGCGACAATGGCTGCTTAACAAGATGTAATCCATATATTACCCCCTTTTGGGAAACACATTTTAATTTGTTTGTAACGTATTTTACTCAAATGTCGTTAGTTTTAAACTGGACAAAAGATATTTTTATGGGCGAATTTCCCTGTCAACCTGACGAGTACGCACTGATGATGACTCAACAGTCGATCTGCTACGAATAATTTGAATAAATTCTTGCACGAAATACAGATCTTCCCTTCTTTGGTTTATTCTTTTCCACAGAAACGCAGCAAAAAAGCAAAACAAAACAAGAGACCAAAATGTTGTATTTCCAGTTAACCATTAGGATATGAAGATAAAGAATTAAAAAAAATCAGTGGCGCACATTTCATTGAGAATAATATTTGGTAGGGTGCCCCCGGGACGCCACTGGTTTTTACAATTCCGATTCAATTATGGCTAAATCAATTCCTCATGCCATTGAATATAATTGCCAAAATCTAAGAGAATCGGTGGAAGGATATTTGAGATGTTCATAAGAAACCGATTTTCTCCAAGTAGTTTAACGCACTGTATCTTGAAAACTATGCATTTCTGGACCCAAGTATATATAAAATAAATTTCATGTTTTCTCATGCAGAATCACCCTGTACGTCTTAAAAATAATTGCAAAATTGCACTTTCCTGTGCGGAAATTTGCACTCGATTTCGCGTTCTATAATACCGGACATACTTTCGTCATGTGATAACGAAGTTGAAACAAGAAGGAAATGAAAAGGAATGATGTCGTCTTTGCGAATATTCAAACGTGCCGCGATTCAAACTGATCTAAGTTAGTGGCAGAGCCTCAATACTTTCGAGAATATTTTGCCCCCCTCTAAAGATAATATCCGACGGACTAGTGTCACACACGATTGAATTTCTGTTTCTGGTTTTCTAATTGAGACATTTTATTTTCATTTCAAAGAATTTAGAAGTGAATATTCAACCTCCTCAATCAAACTACAGACAGTAAATTGACTTCCAGTATATTGCTGAAAACCTATTTTGTGCTGTGTAATGTTCCTTCCTCTAATAATAATTCATACATATAATAAGGAAATCACTGGATATCTTCTTACCAGGAAATAAACTGAGAAAAACCACAGGCTTCTTATTCACAGAAAGCGTTACTTTATGTTCACCATCTTTCTGAGCTGGGCAAGTCGTAGCTACCAGTTTCATAGGTAGGAGAACACAAGTTGTGAGAGTCCTTGGTATCCCAAGATGGCTGATCATAGTGACAGATACCTCCACATTCAAACTGACCACCGGGTAATCTTCGTACAAGTAGGCGTAGCAAGTGAAAGAAGCCTTTTCGCTTAAATTGGTGTAAAACTGTATCTGAGGTTGAACTTTGATAGGAAGTTGAGGTGCCACAGAGATTTGCAGTTCTTCGAATGGCACTTGAGGTGTTAGATCGATGACAATAGCGCACATTTGGAGATTACTAGCATCCTTCAAGTTTGTGTCGAATATACATGGAACCAAGTTGGGGTTTACGGTGACGTGCATTTTTATCTCTTTTTCAGTACTTTGATTGGTGATTTTCATATCTGAAAAAAAAATCGTCACTGCCCAGTTTATAGATGTGAGTGTAAGACCTGAAGTGATCAAAAGTAGAATGGGATCACCTGACCACAGATTGTTGGATTTTGAAAAGTTAGTGTAGGTGAATCTATTTGGACATCATTTCTACTAGCTATTGATGTTCCGAATCGACTTCTTTTGATAATCCTAAATAACAGCATTATAAGTAGGTCCCGCTCTTCCTGGATGGCTTTCTCGATGGTTTACCAACTTCTGAATAGCGATATAAAAATTCCACATATTTTACACCAATGATAATTTTGTTTTTCTTCAGTTCCGACTCTATTTTTGAACACTTCAGGTTTAGATCCCATAACAAGATCTCTAACACTAATATTTAAAAAGGAAGTTTCCATCATTTCCATGAGAATAACAGAACTAACTTCATTCTCCATTTCCTTCACATCATAAAAAAAATTGAGACAGTTCAGTAATGACTCTCGTATCTAGGTTAGGTTCAAAGTGAGTGGGTCTATTCACCCCTGCACTGCATATTTCACCAAGTAGATCCATTTTTCTTGAATGAAGTCGATTGGTTCACTTGGTGAATGATGTTCTAAAAGATCCGAGGGCGAGAGTGAATAAACCCTGCCGATCAGCAAAAACCTGATTCGGGTCACGGCGATGAAAGCAGAAAGTATAATAATATGCCCTGCTGCTTCATCATGTTCAAGTCTTGATATAATGATAGACAGTGACCTGTAAGTAGTCCTGTTGAAGAGCTCAGGTCATCTTCCCTGCTGTAGTCTAATATTTCTCTGGTGACATTTTTCGAAGGATGTCTTGGAATTAGCCAATCCTGGTAAATTCTGCCAGGAGTACGAAACTCTTCTTGCAGTCCAGGTGTTCAGTACATGTTTGAGGAATCTTGTAGAGACAACCTCCTTTGCAAGGAAATCTGCCATATTTCATCACCTATAGCGGAGTGGATAGAAATTTGTTGAGTCTTTCTATTGGGAGAAGTTGAATATCAATCCAGACGTTGAACGGTTGATTGATTGATCGATTTATAGCAGAGTCAGAGTTCGAAGCCCAGAACACTGCAGCCTTTGGGTGTATTGTATTCCTGATCATAATGTTGACTAAGGTGAACAAGTTCGCTGCCTTGATGAGGTTTAGCAACCTCTTCACCAAATCTTTCGTTGAAAAAACCTCGTGTGAGTTCAGTGCTCGCACTCTGATATTACATGGGTGGCCCGGGTGGCCGTTTCCTCCTCCTCAATGCATATTCTGCATGTGGCTTCGTCTGTATGTATGCCCATTTGATACATATGCTCCCTCGAGGGGCAGTGATCGGTCATTAGTCCCTTCACTTGTCTGATCTGACTTCTGTACAGGCTCAGAATGTCGTCAGTCACTGTACTGGACAGTGTTCCAACCATCAGTTTGCTGTGTCTTCGTCGTGGAACGTTGTTCCAGTATGCCTGATGTCTTTCTTGCGGTCACCTTGCCTGCCAGCCGCGTGAGGTTTTGGGGATTCCGAACACAGGTCCCGGTCCCATAAACAGCTCCGTAGACCCTTGCCTAGCGAGAGCCTCAGCTGCTTCATTGTCTTCAATTCCCTTATGCCGTGGCACCCATTGAAGCGTTATCTTGTTGTGGTTAGCCAGAGTTAGCATGCTTTGAAGGCAATCCCAGGCCAGCAGACTTGATCGTTGAACGGTACGATCTAACTTGTTTTATGTGTAAGGTTATGTCCTTCAATCTCCATACACATGATTCAGTGGCTTTTTCCGTCTGAAAAACGATTGCATAGGACCCTAAAAAAGTTGATATCTTTGTTCCAAGTCTGACGCCGTATACACTCGCACGAGAGCCAGTGAGTGTTTTAAAACTACCTGTTCTTAGTAGTTCCTCCTTTCGGAGGAACCTCATATCCATTAGGAATTTGGACGGTATAAAGCAGGTTATAAGTAACCGTTGGTGGCATTAAGTCGAAGGTCGTTTCTGACAATTTCAACAGATTACTGTAATGATATGGCATTTGAAACACAAATGGTCCAATAGAGTCAAGCAATCCCCAGTTAATCCACTTGGCTCAGCTCGCTGCATAGAGATTAGTCAGAACTTTTGTTATTTTTACACCTTTCTGACTTATTTTTTTCTTAGGAGCATCGTGCTCCCCTAGGGAGGATAGGGAGAGGAGAGAGGAAGTTCTTGGCAAAATTTACATAGGCAAACAATTTGAAAACTTTTAACTAGACTATGACTTGTGATTCTAAACTACTACTGTTATGTTTGATCAACAAAATCTAATTGATTGGCTCATTCCAGGCGTCATGACAAGAGGGAAACTGATTTAAACAAGTTCTGACACAAAATATCGGGGAGTTTATGAAATTGGTTTCACTGCTTGAAGAATATTATCTATATGAACTCCATGAGAATTCAAGTGCCGGAAACTTCTATTTCCTCTAGTTGAGCTATAAAGTATTTTGTACTTACCGGTTCCATAGGATTTTTTGATTAATGCATTCATACTCTCCAATTCTTCTCCAACTGTCTCAAAATCTATTTCTTTGTGAGTAATTGGAGGAGCTACGAAAGGACTAGGTTCAGTGCCCAAATAGCAACATTCGAGTCGACCTTCCTCTGATAGTAGAACCATGGCACCTTTAACTGTTCGAAAGAAAGCTCTTTTTATACATATTGGTAAGAAATTGAGCATAGTAGACCATTTCACAGTGGTGTTTTGGTAAATCAGTAAGGTACTTGTTTCCGAAATAATCAAAGAGTAGATATTTCCATCTGTGAATTCGAATAACCGATTAAATATTGAAATAATCTATCAGAAGCCTCAAACCTGTCATATATGTTTCAAAACAAATGGGTGAAAATTCAAACCTCTTCATGAATTTGATTCGTCCTCTATCAGATAGACAGAATAAATTTCTCTCGCCCAAAATTATGACCCAAGACTGTTTATTGACCTTGTCCTCTGCAACTGAAATATCGATGAAAGCTTCTCCAATGTTGTACACCCACTCCGGTATCACTTTTGGTGAAATATCCGTGGAGAGTGATTTAGCTGATGTTTCAGATAATGCATTATACCTGGAAGTATTATTTTGATTGAGTTCTCAATCAATTGATATGTAATAGAAGACAATATATTTTGTGATTACTTATAAGAGAGAATTTTCCAATTTCCATTTCCAGTGATGAAGCTATCGGTCTTTTTGATGTATACAATAGGAGTTGGCAGGAGAAAATCAGGTAGGAAGCAGCTGAACACAGAGTTTTCTTGTTCGAAGAAGGACAACATGCCATCTAGTGATTGGACACACATAAAGTCTCTGTTTTGTGTCGAGCCAAATGGACCGATAGTGAAATTGGCTGCTGATCTTCTGAGATCGTGGCAATAAAGTGGTTCCAAAACGTTCTGATTTCCTGGAGATCAAAACCATTTCGTCAAAAAAGCAATGCTCACTAAAACTACTGGAAAGTCAGTGCCTAAATAATATTGACTGATTTATCATATTTACCTATATTATGATGGAAATTAACTTAATAATTAGGTGTCTAAAAATCCTACCATGTTCAGTAACGCCTTCCTTTGTTTTCAGGCTGTATACTGATAATACTCTCGGGTGTAGAACTGCTATTTGAAAGTTTTGCGAACCTCTGGAACGTCACATAATATGAATTATTCAACAAAATGCAGATAAAATCAGAGAAAAAGAAGAAGGAGGAGCAAACAAAAAATGAAAAGGAGTAAGGGAAGCATGTACCGTCAAACGAGGTTAATCGGATTAAGAATGAGCTCTTTTTTGAGTCTCTTCATTTTCCTATAATATACCTATCAGGGATGGTCTATTCGCAGTGATTAAATGTGCTTCGAGAAGGTTATGTTGTGTCCATGAGAAGGATTGGAATCCATGGCAAATGTAAAAACTTCACAAACGATAAGATTTCCACAAAATTCTCAAACACACGACATGTTTTGCTAACACAGTAGCTTTGTCAGGTGATATAATAATATACTGGTACGATGACCTAAACTAAAATAGAGCAATGTCAGCTGACGTCACAACATGGCGCACTCGTCGTTTTCATCAGCTGATCGGGGGACATACAAAGTTGTGTGTGAATTTTGATTTTATTATTACTGACCCATCGGTGATTTTGTTGAACTTGTAGATATTATGCGAGAAGAATGTGTTCATTTTCTTCCAAAATGAGTATCTATTGAGGTATATTACGAGGTATATTTGGTATATGAGAGCTGAACTCAAGTGAATCCAGTAATTTTAAATTGACAAATAAACCAATTTGAACTCTTTTTTGGACTCATTCACTTTTCTCACGGTATTGTATTTTAGTGGGAAATGTGCAAGAAAGTTACATGTACTCTTATGGAAAATGTGTATGCCTGTCCCCCCATCAGCTGTTCAATGGCCGACGATTTTACGTCATATGACGCCATTGACATTGCTCTATTGGCTTGCTTATATACCATACTTTCCCAACCTGAAGGATTAGTTACCGAACCTGTCCACAATTCAATTCAGCGATTCTGAAAGTGAAATTACCATTTTTGAAATTGAACTTACCAATTCTGTAATCGAGTTTACCTTTTTCGAAATAAAATTTACGAATTCTTAAATTTGAGTTGAAGAAATATAGAAGAAACAAAGATGAAAATAAGAGGTAAATAAAAAGCAAAGGACGTGAAACAATGGAGAAATAAAAAAGAATCAAGGGAAAAGACGCGAAGATTAAGTTATGAAGAAGCGAAGGAGAAACAAAGAAGAAGCAAAGAAAAATTTTAGAAGAAACAAAACACAAGCAAAGAATATGCGAAGGAGAACCGTAGAAGAAGCAGAAAGGAAGTACAGAAGCAGCGAAAGAGCAAGTAAATGAGCAGTTTTTCCTAGTAAATTTTTTCAGTGGGTGTTTTTATCCATAGCTAGATACATAGGTATTTGTTTTTTTTATGTTGTGGTTCCCACGAAAAGGGATATCCTGTAATGTTCAGAGAACATCGTGAGAACCAAGGGAAATAAAGTAGGAATTGGTGTTCTTCTTGAATTTCTGGAGGTTATATGCCTTGGGCAACACCTCCTTTGGCAATGTATTCCAGAGCCTCGCTGTTCGTTGTATGAACGAGTCTTCGAAAAGAGATGTTCTGCAGATCTCCAAAGTGACCACAAAGGGGTGCGAGGCCTCAACTCGACGGGTTAATTTCGCGGGGACAGCCAAGGGAGGAACAATTGTTGATATTTCAGACGAGCATCGTCTATGAAAATATTTATGAAATTGAGCCAGATCGCCAACTTTTCTACGGTGTTCCAGAGAAGTTAGTGAGTTTGTGAGCGATGCATCACCCACGAGACGAATTGCCCTTTTTTGGACAGAATCAAACAGTTTCAGGGTATGTTTGGGTGCTGCACTCCAAATATGGAAACAGTATTCTAGGACAGGTCGGATCTGTGCCTTATAGATCATAAGCAGCTGACTGGAAGTGAAATAGCTCCTGGCCCGAAACAGAAAACCAAGTTTTTGGGATGCACTTTTAGCAATTGATCTCACGTGATTTTCCCAAGAAAGGTTATTGCTGATAGTGATACCAAGCATCGAAATGGAAGTCTTCAAAGGTATGATTACTCCTGACAAGCTTATGTTGGGCACAGTGAGATAAGCTTTCCTAGAGAAAAGGCATGCTTGTTTTGTTTGCATCGAAATCTACCAAGTTATTGGATCCCCATTCGAGAATTGTTGCCAAGTCTATATTTATGTTGTCAACATTTCTCCCCCGTTCGTTTCTGATATGCCTGGCTGGTATTGGAGCCCTGGAAGAGAAGGCGGTATGGAGGATACTATCATCCGCAAAGCTGTGTACTGAACAAGAAGTTGCTTCCAAAAAATGGTTGATATGGAGTAGAAACAGTGTTGGTGCTAGAATTGATCCTTGCGGAACACCAGCATTTATAATAAGAGAGTCAGTAATTCTTGTTGCTCAACATTGTACTCACGAGGCTAGTCTTCCACATCCCACTTGTAAAATAGGAGACTCTAAAATACTTTCTATCAACAAGTCTGTGGGGATGAAGCCGCTAAGTCCATTCTCTGTCAAACTACAAGATGGTTGGAAAACCCTCAACACACCACTATGACTGCCACTAATTATGTAGTCACTATCACTGTTGAGTATTGTGGTGATGCAAGAATTTTGATCGAAAGATTCGTCGTCTTCACTTTGCACTGTCCAAAATTCTCTCGTTTTGAATAAAGACATGTTTGTCTGATCATTTGAAAGGAATACATGAATAACAGCCAAAGGGTTAGCGAGTATCGATCGAACGTTGAATGTAAACAAACAAAAATCGATTGTTATACGAGGGGTGTGCGATTATGCATAATTCATGATTTATTTCGATTTGACACACATCTTATCTTCTGAATAGTTGGACTATTTATACAGGGTCCTGCATCTCACCTCCCGTCTTCTATAGCTCAGTTATCAGTTGAGTCAGCATTTTGATATTTACAGACTTCAATTATTGTATCATGGGGCGCATACCAGGAGTAGAAGCCCCTGTATATTTTCATGTCATTCGATGCGTGCATAAAAAAAACTTTTCCTCTTTTTACAACCTCATCGAAATTCTCATCGCATCAAAAGTTATTTGCCGAAAACTTGTTGCATCAACTATTTTGATAGTAATTTGAATGAATAAAAAACGATGGAAGCTTTGATAAAAAAATTCTTGATTCAACATATCAGAAGTTCAACAGAACTATTCGTCTAAATCTTATACACATCATGAAAGTATAGACAAACACATTATATAAGTTCCCAATAAAAGGAAAATTTTATGAAACTGGTAATTATAGTACCTACCCATAATATTATTTTGTATTTAATGTGGTAAAGAAACATCAATATAATTTCACAAACAAAATCTTATCTTTTCTGATAATATTGATGCAACCCTAATACAACAGTGTTTTTTTTTACCTACAGAAAATTTCGAAATAGCACAAAATAAACTGAAACTTGCTGAAGATTTCAGTGATATAAATAATCGTAAAGATTACGTCATTTTGACGCCATTAGGATGTCGTCATTTTGGCGCCATTAGGATGACGTCATTTTGACGACATGAAAATGACGTCATTTTGAAAGTCATCCTGACGTCAGGCCTGACGTGATAATGACGTACAAATGACGTCAGCTTGTTACCTGGGTAGTTCTAGTAAATAACTTTTCAAAAATAAACAAATATTAAAATGTATGTTTGATATGTCTTTCGTTCTCTTGGAGGCACAATCGAATACGATTATGGAATGACCTTGCCACTCTTCGTAATATAAGGATAGAAACACTCCTTCTTCTCTACTCAGATGACGTTGCTCTCATATTGTCTATGGAGGACGCCTCTGAGGAAATATAATGCCGACTTGATTTTTGTTTGGCCAGGCTACGCTCAGTCGGCGGTCTTAGGACTGCTGGCTGGAGACAGCCCTGCACTGATGAGAGTCAAAGAGCTCGAAACCGGTCTGTAGGTGTCTAGTGTGGCCTAGCTAAATCGAAATCAATAGGACTTCAGGAAAGAATCACTTGGTATCAGTATTCGTTCATTCGAGTCGATGCATAGATTCCAGGATTCAATTCAATGTTCTGCATGGCATTAGCCTGGAAAGTAGTTGTTTTTCTCCCGCAAATCTACCAATGTTGTTTATTTTGTGAACATTGTGTAGCTTTTTGTATTTATTCGATATTTCATTCCACTCTGAGCATTGTGGCTATTTTGTAGTTGGTAATACATCTTCCATTGAGACGTGAAAATTGATTTCCTCAGGAAGTTTATGAAACGCTGACAGGTCGATCCTAGTGGACTGTGAGAGGATATTGTTTCAGATGTCATCAGCATGTAGAAAATGTCAACAGGTGGACGTCTCAGAGACTTTTTGCGGCTGCCTGTCGACATCATCAGTGCATTATCTGGACCTCCTCAAAAGATTACCAAAACGTATCATCTACGGAGAACGTATAGTTTATGTTAAGTCAGTTGAACAGATCATCAAACGAATGTCGGGCAGCGCTGCCGCACTCTTTGAACTCTCAAAGGGACCGACAGCTTGCGCTGATAAGAATATTCTAGATCATTAAATATTCAGTTAAACATCTGCTTCTCGAAAAAGCATACTATAGCCTGCAGGAATATTATGCTGACGTGCCTCAATAAATAACACATTTAAACCTGTTGTTTGTATATATATTCATTCACTTACTTTAATGAATATTTTAACGTGTTTTCTTTCTAGTCTTTTTAATTTTTTGTATGACACTGTATATTCATGCAGTCTAATATTGTATATATTTTTATTTTGATGCAATTGCATCGATAGTATGCAAGGTTAGCCCTTACCCTTGATTTCAATTTATTAGTTCTAATTATTTATATCTATATATGTATGTATTTGTTAAAAATTGTTATTTGCTTCTGACACATTGTACAATATTCGTATTGTTCATATTACTTTGTCAATGAGAATTCATTCTTGGACAATAAAGTATATCTATCTATCTATAATTCAATGTTGTGGATAACATCAGCCAGGAAAGTATTTGTTTTTACTTTCGTCATCTCTTATTGTTGTCTATTTTCATCCATACTCATGGAAATGACTGAGTTTCTACCCGAATTGTAAAGTTCACTTCACGGAAAAATCGCTGATATCATTTGACTCAACCGTTTCTTATATGTGAAAAATATGTGAGTTATATTTGCCGAATATCAAATCAGGAAATTTGCATTCGGTGTACTAAAAATTCAGTTATTATCGAATCAAGAATCGCTTTCGTTTGTGAAGTATTCACAAAAATGGCTAAATTCTAAGCAACGACACCATGTGGTACAAACGGCAATAAGAACAATAAGAATGAGACATACCAAATAAGTACCCTAATGGGTTGTCGATACAGTTTTCCAAAAATTACATATACTGAAAAATAAATCCAAAGTCGAGCACCAAAAAAATACTAAAGTATTTGGAAGGGTCCCTCGTACTCGTCTTCGGACCTTGACAAATTCTATAATATTTATGCAATTCTTCGAAGAATTGAAAAAACTATTAGGGCACTCATTCGTTGAAATGTATGTCTGTCTTAATAACGTGTCGGGGATAAAATTTGGACCTTTTTGTGAGTACTTGACGAGTATAGCACTGATGATGACTTAATAGCCGAAAGCCCTTTGCGATAAAATATCCACACAAAATGAAACTTCCATTTGATTGATTAGTTACGTGTATGCATCTTGGAGAAATTTTCACCGCTTCAGTATACCTATACCTACCTATACATGTATGGTACCAACCGTATAATAATCAACAATTATTCGGTAACATTTCGTAGTTACTTCCTGTGATTTCACAGGTCGACTGGGTTATAATAGCTGGTCTTGTATAATAAAACAACCGACCATGCACCGATTCATGCTTTCATTTGTTCACGGAACTTTCACCTGTTTGGAGATACACACCATCATATTCGAACCCGGCATCAGAGCTACAACTTTCCATCTATCTAGTCACTCGTGGTTATTGAACATATTCTCGACCGTCTGATCTTTGAACAAAGCGAAATGTAAGGTGTTCCAAAAAATAAAAATTGCTTTTCAGTAGACAGTAGATTCGTATTTTGGGAATTAGTGTGTGCGAATTGAAGTGCCGCTATTGTATGCGAATAATGTGTTGTTCCATGGTATGTTAGAGCGTAGCGGGAAAAGTGGCAACATGGGTGATACGAATTTGATGATCGCCCGATCAGCGATTGTTTTGGGAATGGTAGCGGCAGTAGCAACAATTATATATTTCACCCCCGTACCAAGTGAGTATACAAACATCTATGGAAATTGATAGATATATAATTTTCCTTCATTAAAAAATAGGCAATTGTTTTCCATTTTGAAATTATTGAAAACAACATAAAAATATGAATATATATAACCTCTGAATCATGGTTCTATTAATTAAATCAATGAGCTGATGTTTGTATAGGTATAGTTTCTACTTAAACATGAACAATATTCATATTTTCATTCCATAAATACATGCATTTCCATAACTATTAACATACCCAACATGTATATAGGGTGTATCTAAATAACGCCGAAAAAATTCAAGGTGTGACTCCTTGTGATATTCTTGCAAATGAAGTTCATATAAACATGTGTCCTTACTTGCTCCGTAATAAGATACAGGGTGTTGAAGTTGGAAGTATAAATTGTTTTTATTCATAACCCCCCTGTATAAGCTTTCATGGTGCCAAAATTCAGTATGGTCGGAGACTGAGAAAGCCCCATAATTTCAAAATGATTGTAATTGGAGTTATTTAGTAGTCTCGATGGAAGTCTTGAAAACACCTACATTGAATTTGGAGTCAAATTGAATTTTTATTGTTTCCTCAAAAACTGAGATGGATATAAAAATCACACAGAGGATAAAAATGTTGTCATTTCAATAGTTCGATCAAATAAAAATATGAACCTCAGAAAAACCGGTGGCGTACAATGACATTCACCATAAATATCGATAAATTTACCCACTGGGACGCCACTGGAAATATTATTCCTAATCTAATTGCACCAGAAGAAGCTCCATATTACAGTCACCGAACCCACAACGTTTTATTGAAATTGATGAACAGGCAATTGAGTAATGAATAAAAAAAAACATTTTTCATGGAAATATTAATACCCTGTATCTCGAAAACGAAGGAAGTTCGGACACATGTTCATATGAATTTTATTTTCTCAAATATCACCCCATGATTTTTTTCGGTGTTATTTAGATACAACTTGTATATTTCGACTGAAAGTGAGGATACTGTGATTCTTCTAGGTTTGAAACTGAAACTATGGTCCATGTTGATCAAATCGTCAAACTTCATCATACTCCATGATACGCGTAGTTTCAACAACCTAAGTAGTTGCTTTTTTCTCAAATGATGGTTCTAATCGATTGCCACATTCCTGCTTGGATTGTATTTGTAATCGAAATTTACCATTTTCGCATCTGACCTCTTTACAAATTCGGATTTGGAGGAAGAATAGTGTCACCATAGAAAATAGTCATTTATGTTTCCAGTGAAAATGACATAAAAATAGATGTGTTCATTTTCAATTTTTTTAATGTAATGTATTTTTTATATTTTCGTGGTTTTTGTAATATAATGCCATCTATTAGGGGTATAAAACAATGCAGGAGGGAATAGGGATTATCAATCTCTCGTGAAATAAACTCAGTCATATCTAAATAGTTCCATTGAGCACTCTGTATTTTGGTTGACTTGGCTATAATCTTCTTGTAGAACTTACAATAATAAAACTTTGTCATGCACTAAGGACAGGACGAAATTCATACCGATTCCTCCACCAAAACTATATTTTATTGTATGCAAACTTACGGGGACATGTTTCGAAGCTTTAAAGCTTCATCATCAACGATTTTGTTACGTAGGAGCACTAAAGTTAAAGAAAAACAAAGAAGAATGTCATACAAACCCCTCAACAACCATAAGTCTATAACAGTCACCTGTTCTGGAGGAAAAAAGTTATGTTCACATATTCGACAAAGTTATTGAAAAATGTTTGAAAAAAAACTAATACATGATAATAAAGTTTAATGGGGGCCGCAATTATTGCGGAACCCCTTTGTTAGGGAACTTCGAATTTCATAATAATGCGAATAGGTACGATTCTTATCTGTTCATGACGAACTCTTACAAAGACACGAAAACGGAAAAATGAGATGTCAAAAATCAAACGAATGGCATGACTTTGTAACAAAGTATTCATTGAATGACCGCTCACTTCAACTGTTGTATAAATGTGATATAGATTTGAATACAGAAAATAAAAAAGGCACTTTTAATTTGCCATTGAATAACGAACACCCTGAATGGATTATTACAATCGAAATTTGTTTGCAAGTATTTCAGCTGGGTGGCGGAAATTTGATCGAAAGACGAATGATAGAAACACATTTGATAGAAGTCTTTTGATCGAAAATAAAAAAATAGAAAGAACTTTTCACCGAAAATACATTTGATCGAATGTTTCATGATAGAAAATACATTTGATAGAAACATGAATGAAAGAAACTACAATTGATAGAAAAAATATTTGATAGAAAATACACTTGATAGAAACAGCGTTTGATAGAAAATTCAACGGGGCTACGCTCAAGTTAGGTCAGTTATGATCCTTCCTCATATATATTTGAGAAGAACGAGCTAGAAGTTTGTGGTATCAATGAGTTCATAAGCTTCGTCCATCTAGCTCTTTCTTCTCAAATATATGAAGAAGGATCATATCTTCACAAACGTACTGGACCTTACTTGAGCGTATCCCCGTTGAATTTTCTATCAAATGCTGTTTTTATCAAGTATATTTTCTATCAAATATTTTTTCTATCAATTGTATTTTCTATCATTCATGTTTCTATCAAATGTATTTTCTATCATAAAACATTCGATCAAATGCATTTCTATCAAAAACACTTTCGATCAAGAGACTTCTATCAAATGTTTTTCTATCATTTGTCTTTCGATAAAATTTCCGCCACCCATTTCAGCTATGCTTGTATCGAATTAGCTACCAACTTCTTTGAAAACAATGTTGGAATTTGGACTCTCTCAGCAAAGTTAGCCTAGAAATGATGTATTTCGGATTTGTCCAAATTTTTTAAGATACCTGAGTTCTAGTATACACCGTATACAAGGCGAGTCGAAATATTGAAAAATAAAATCGTCTTCTACTCACTTGTCTCAGGAAAGGTGGCCGTTCCAATAACCTGAAAACAATTCGAAAAAATAAGTATTAATTTTATCTGACTTAGCCTCAGAAACATATTGAAATAATACTAATATCTCCATTTATACAGGCTGATTCACGGTGGATGGCACATAAGATGTTTCTGGAGAACGTAACTCAGGATCATTCTGAAAAAATGATGCCTTATATAATTAGTTTTAAAATAGGACACCCTGTATATCATTCCATTTTCAGATTCTTCCTGGAGAGCTGATTTCATCGACCTATAACACTTGGGGTCTAGCAGTAATAATTACAGAGTTATATTATATCAATTGATATTTAATTGAAATAAATACAGGGTGGTTCAGAATTAAGTTTTTGGACCACCCTGAATCTATTTCAATTAAATATCAATTGATAGTACGTGGGAGGTTGAGACAGGGGCATGAAAACCGTTTTGACCAATTATGAATAGTTTCGACACAAACAATTCTTAAAGTTGAAAACTCCCGATTTTTCACACCCTATATCTTTGTTATCATTCCCGCTAGACTCCAAATGTGATAGATCGATGAAATCAGCTCTCCAGGGAGAATCTGAAAACGGAATGATATACAGGGTGCCCCATTGAAAAAATCAAAGTTGTTGCTACTTTTCAATATACAACACAACAAAACAACTAATTATCCCAGAAACCAAATTTTCATAATAATCCTACGTTGCGTTCACTAGAAACGTCTAATTCACCATTCACCGTGAATCAGCCTGTATAGAGACAAGGATAGGAATTCCCATAGTCTATCATAGTGAAATGAGTATTTCACCTCTTCGATTCATCTTTACAGACAGTATCGATGAAACTTAAATTTGTCACTTTTGGAACTTTGATAATTTTGTTTTGAACAATCCAACTGTATGTACATGATGGGATTCTCTGAGTAGAATTGTGGGACTTATAATATAAGAGTCAACATGAATGTTTTGTGTATTTGATAGATGACATTTGTCACTTGTTTGTCAAAAAATAATTTTTATCTACCATTTTTATCTTTCGAATCAAGTAGTCTGACGGTTTGTTAACTTCATACTCGCGCCATTTGCTTTATCTACAGTATGATAGTTTTTTGATACAAAAAAGAAGCATCTTGAGAAAAATGTTTATCTGGGGGTTCAAAAAACTAAAATTCAAAAATGTTTTCAAATTATTTGGAGCCCAAAACCCTTATGAACCATGTTATCAATTTTATAGTTCCTTTTCTCCTCCTACCTAGCAAGGTATGTCACCCATTTTCCAATAGTGATGGAACTTCTTTTATTCATAAGTTTTTTGTATTTTAGCCTGATAATGACTCCTAGGAGTCGAAACATGTAGCACGTATTATTTTATTAAAATTTACTTGGAGCGAGACTTTGAGGTTGTTCTCTTAATTATATAATAAAAAAAGTTGAGAAAAATGAAGTGAAGGTATTTGAATCAAAATTGTCTCTTGAACCGTTTAACAGTTATATCACCTATATAACTATAATTATCTCTGCTCTAAATAAACAAGAAAAAAGATGAACGGGTATCAGATGAATATTCATAATAATAATTATTTCATGAAAACATTCAGAATTTCTCCTCGAATGAAAGTATTCTTGTAATCTTGTCAGCCTTTCGTGATGATTACATTGCGAATTGAATACATTCTCACTAGAGAAAGTTCTTTAGATGAATAATAATAGTACTTGCTATACAAGTACACGGTAGACGCAATAAAAATATTCTCATTGAACCAACTAAAATGTTTGTTTATTATATAACTGAGTAGGTGCTCCTGACTTTCTCCGTTGGTACATAAATTGATGTTACTTTGTTTCAATAGATGGAGGAAATAATCACTCCCATTTCAAATAACTATGGAACTATTAGAGACTTTTCAATTAAATATCGAAATATCCATATTGAATAAGCGAATTACATTGTAGGACAGAGAAATAGGGCTCGCAAAAAACCTATTAGAAAGCAGGTATGACAGGTTCTCAGAATCCAATTAGTTCCCAGATTTCTGAATTAAACTTTAGGACCAGAATATGAACTGATGATTTTCTTATATGTATACATCGAGTTGAAAATAAAAACCTTTTTATTTACAGATCAAAACTTCAAGAGCTGTGATAGACCTTGCCATGATCTAGATTGGCCAATGATATGTAGAGTAACACTAAATATAGAAATGTTTCAAACTAATTTGTAAGTATTTACCATTACTATTTAAATTGTGGCTATGAAAAGAGAATTTTCATATAATTTCAATTTATTTACCATTCACTAATGATTACATACATACTGTAGCTTCTGAATCATTTGAGATCGAACTTTGAAAATTGGTGGAAACCAAGTATATAGTATAGCTGAAATTCGCTAGATATCCGTTCACGATGCGAACATACTGTCGGTTCGAATCCGGCTATCGGCTGAGCGTTTTTCTTCAAAATGTGTGATTCATGGTTGTAATCCTGGCAGCAACTCGATGCCTTAGAAGTGGTTGGGATACCACTATGAGCAGTAGGTCCCGCTCTTCCTAATCTCGCACAAGTTTCAACTTCTGGGGAGTTGGTTCTCAACTTTGAATTAGCGATATACGAATTTTACAAAAAAATAACGAATCGCTCAATGATTGACGGAACAGTTTATCACTTCTGGTTTCACCGCAAGCGACACCAACTTTCGATTTTGAACAGGGACATTATCTATTTTATGGTAAAAGTCTATGGTATATCAAACTGGGGTGAATAGATCCATAAGGAAGACACACTAAGTAATCTCCACAAATTTATTACCTGAATAATCAGAATCTGAACATGTTTGGGACTATCAATAGTCCATCATCAGTAGAAGCATATTCATAAAAGACAATTTCTATGTATTGTATTTTAACCACTCGAGGAGACGCTAAGCACTCTCATACAAAAATCAAAGACAGAGAAAGATATATGAATGTACTCTTCCCAGGACTCGTGAATGAAGGAAGATGCGAGGATACTTTATCCAAGCGAAAAACATATTCTTGTCATCGTCTGGCAAAACATATGATTTGCTTCAAAATCGTTTGTGATTATGTTTGATTGTCACTGCTTGTCTAGTGTCCGTATACTCTGATATACAAAAAACGTCAAAACAGCAGTGTCAAATACATTTAGGAACTCTAATCTCGACTATTTTTTTAACTCGGCTACGCCTCGTTGAAAAAATCAGATCTCGATCACCAAAGTAGCATTTCGCGCTCTAGATACAAAAATGAGTATTTTTCTAAAATCATCGACCCTGGTCTAATACGCTTCAGCGGGAACCAATTACAATATACCTAGGTCATCTTCCTGAACTGTTTCCAATCATTTCATCCATCTCGATTCCAGAATATGCGAAGACTGCCACACCAACTCGTCCTCCTGCGTCCAGACCTCCTGTCCCACACCAGCAACCACAACCACAACCAGAAGCATCATAACCGTCAACCGTCAACTCCCAGCTCCACCAATCCACGTCTGCCACAACGACATCCTGATCATCGACGTGGCCAACAGAATCGAAGGCCACACCCTCTCCCTGCACTGGCGAGGTCAGCCTAATCACGAGGCACCCTTCATGGATGGAGTGCCTCTGGTCACCCAGTGCCCCATATCCAGCTACACCACCTTCCAGTACAAGTTCAGAGCCTCTTCACCCGGAACGCACCTGTACCATGCCTACTCGGATGCTGACAGGTCTGTAGCGGTGTTAACAAATGAGTGTCACAACGGAAAACTGTAGATTCCTCATGAAAAAAGAAACATTTTTGTTCCTGTCGAAATTTTTCTCCGGGCTTCCGTTTTCAAGATACAGGGCGTCAGAAATATACAAAAAAATCAGTTTTTTGCTACTATCTTAGAGACCGTTCAAGCTACGGAGTTAAGCATTCGTACACACTTCATCATCAATAATGACTACTTTTAGGGCTCTTGATCAATTTTCTTGGACATGTCAGTGGAGGAGAATTCAACGCATCGTGAAGATTCAACCCCCCAAACATTCATGCCACTGGAGAAATTGTAATTTTCAAAGTAGATTCTGAAGTGCCAATATCTTTCACACAAAAAGCACCCTCCTGTCTCAATAATAATATAATAATAAGTGAACAGTTTCCGCTAAAAATGTCTCTTTATGAATAAGAACATACAAAATCCTGATGGTATCTCCAGAAAACGTCTGAAAATTCACTGGAAATATACACCTGTCTAATAATGTGTTCAATCAGATGTCAGGTTCTTGAGTATGCTGGTCTCGATGCTGGTTTTCGAATTGTCAAATTTATTAAGTGTTGAAAACGGAAACCCGGAGAAAAATTTTGAAGAGGAATGAAATGTTCCTCTTCCCAGCTAGCATTCACACGTCAATTTCACGTCATATAAACGTCACCAATTACGTCAAGATCACCAAATTATCGACGTGAAAGAGACGTAAATGTGACGTCAATATGTCACATCGAAACGACGTCATTTAGTGACGTCGTTACAACGTCATTTAGCGACGTCGTCTACACGTCGAATAGTTACCAAGCATCAGGTCCAGGTTTCGACATTACCAAGAAACTGTGAAACTCGCAATCACTTTTTCATGATCCTATTCCTTGATGGTTGGCAAAACAGTTCAAATGATCTAGTTACAATAGTTGTGGAAATTTTTTATTTGTTTACATAATTATACATAGGTATTTTCCATCTGAATAAAACTAATAAGCATGAAATTCAATGTATTCCATAGTATATGTAGACATCAACCAAGATGTCAAGTTTCAGAGGAATCTCAACCTAATATAACCCCAAATTATTCTTGTACCTACGATTTGAGGTATTTATAGATTACTTTCTTCAAATAACGACCCCACTACATTGAACAACTTCCAATAATATTTCAAACTACTATTTTCATTTTCTAGTTTTTTTTTTGTTTGACAATCTATCTCGTTTTTCAAAGTATACTATCGCTTTTCTACTTCTATTCAGTTTGACCTCGAATTTTACTAACTATAAAAGCGTGTTTCATTACAGTTGTTTAAACTACTATTTATTACAGAGCACTTTCACCATATTGGATCCGCCATTTCGAATTTCCCAATTTTAAAGAATAAAATCTTAGTCTCCGACCCCGAAAACCCCCAGATACAGATTTTGAATAGAATCGGATCATAATTATAGAACTCGTCCGCCATATTGGATCCTACATCTTCAATTTCCTAATTTTGATGAAGGAATCATAATCTCCGACCCGAGAATCCCCCAGATACAAATTTTGAATATAACCGGATCAAAGTTACAAAACTCGTCCGCCATATTGGATCCACCATCTTAAATTTTCAAATTTTGACGAAAGAATCATTATCTCTGACCCCAAAAACCATCCGATACCAATTTTGAATTGAATCTGACCATAATTACAAAGCTCGCCCGCCATATTAGATCCGACATCTTGAATTCTCCCATTTTGACAAATGATTCATATCTCCGCCCCCTAAGACCTCCAGATACCAATTTCGAATAGAATCTGACCATAATTACAAAACTCGTTCACCATATTGAATCCGCCATTTTGAATTTCCTAATTTTTATGAAAAAATCATAATCTCCGACCTCGAAAACCCCCAGATAACAATTTTGAATGGACTCTGACCATAATTACAAAACTCGTTCACCATATTGGAACCGCCATCTTGAATTTCCAAAATTTGACAAAAGAATCATAATCTCCGACTCCGAAAACCCCCACATACCTATTTTGAATGAAATCGGATAACAATATTCGTCCGCCATATTGGATCAGCCATCTTGAATTTACGATTTAAAAAATAGATTACGACCGATTCTCATACCTACCGAATACGCACAAAAAATTTCATACGAATCGGTCGAGCCGTTTCGGAGGAGTTCGACCACTAATACCGTGACCGGGACAGGAGAATTTTATATATTAGATTATGGAGAACAATGTTTGAGTTGATTGATGATTTATTCATTTGACAAGTTGTCTAGCTATTGTCATCTACCAATGTACCCTGTAATTATAATCACAGTGAATACAATTAACTTTACTACAGGTCCAACGGCTTGTTTGGTGCTCTGGTTGTACGTAGAGCCAAGAAGACAGAGCCGCTGAGGAAGCTCTATGACGTGGATGATGATCAACACGTGGTGCTGTTGTCAGAGTGGACTGATAGCTCTAAGAGTCTGCAAAGCCCTAGTAGCATCCTGATTAATGGAAAAGGACCTAATGGGTCCCTAACTTCATTCATTGTAACCAAAGGAAAGAGACACAGGTTCCGTGTCGCTCACACTGGTGGGATCAAAGGCTGTCCTATAACTGTAAGCATCGACAACCACTTACTGAAAGTTGTAGCTGTGGATGGGAACCCGATCAATGCTCAGGAAGTGTCTTCGATCACTTTATCAAAGGGAGAAAGATTAGACTTTGTGCTGAAAGCTAACCAAGCAGCTGGTGCTCATTACTTGAGAGCTTCGTCGACTTGTGATGGTAAAGAGATCAGTGGTGGGGCGATAGTGAGTTACCTTGGTACGAGTGATGGGGTTACCGTGGGAAAGAAGCTGGGTGGAATGAGAGATCCCAGGAGGTTCAGGACTTCCTTCTGTGGGAATAAAGATGGAGATGTTTGCTTGGGCGCTGTGAGGTCGATGGAGAAGATGGCAGAGGAATTGGGAGGAGACGTTGACAGGAAGTTCTATATTGGTTTTGACCATATTCATAAAGATGTTGAATTCGATCAGAGTAAGTTGTTCTATAGATAGTATTTTTTTTAAACTGGATGGATTTAAACTGGTTGACGCTCTTCTAATATTTATTTGGCATGCAAGATATAATAAATTAGGCGAAGTGAATGTGCCATCACCTAGTGGGATTATAGTACAGTATGATGCGAATGTATGGAATAAATTCATTTTTACAGAAATGGGCGACATTTGAAAAAATTCAAAAACACGTGAGTTTTAAGTTATGATGCCTCATCTCATGATATTCATATGAGAGATGTTACGTACCGGTGTTGGAGTAATGACGTAATGAACGATATTTTCAAATACAAGCAGGGGTCATGTGACACCTCGTTTGGAAGGTCTACTGATCGTCTATCCAAGGATCAAAATTTTGCAAAAGAAGATTGAAATTAAAATGGATTATCATTTGATTAACTGAATCTTGCAGAGGTCTGCTACTAAGTTAGTTAGCTAGTTAACGAAATACATCAATCAAAAAAGTTCTAAACTCTAGTTTTTGGATTTTTTTCGAAAGTCGTCTTGTTTTGAAATGGATTCATTCCATACATTTGCATCATACTGTATATAAATCACTTGATCAACGTAAGTGTGGAGACTACAAAAAGTAAAATATTTAAGGAGACTACGTAATCATACTGATGATATATGAACTTCCTTATACATATATAGATATATTTTGATTACTAACATATTCGAGAGTTTAGATATTGAGGGCCATAAATACTAATCTGCCCTTTTATGAAATTTCATTGGTGTGCTTTATTACCTGCCTACACGAAACATATAATCTAGTCGAGATAATTTGAGATAAATTATATCTTTTAGTAAAAATGTTGCGGATGAAATATACGGTGCAGTTCATCTAAAGCAATACCTGCTGAAATGATATTAACAAGGAAAGCTAAAAACACGCCATCACTGATATACGAGGGGAAACCATATACGTATTAATAATCAATACGGATAATCTCTTTCTGTTTCCATACCGAAACATGAAGCCGATTTTTGAAGACAAATGACTATCCATAAGGAAAAGTGAGATACGATCAGACACATACTGCTTTGATTGAAAGGCTAGTAAACGTCATTGTCCACCGAAACGCATGTCTTTGATGACTACTATAATAGCTCATGGCGCATGCGTATCATGCCACCAAATCCTTATGGATATTCATTTGTTTCATATTTTTGGCTTCATCCTGGTACCCGTTATGATCCGTATTGTTTATTAATACGTATATGGGGGAAACATTCACCATTTATTTTGTCAATTGGATCGAAAGAAGTGAGAATCTGTCAAACAGTGATGCCATCTTGTTTGAAAAAAAAGTAGATAAATATGTCGAAGCCCTGAGGGGGCAGAAGGACGATCTAGCCTTCATAGCCATCTAGTGGCTTAAGTGCAAGGTGTATGGGTAGATTCATCAATCATACCTTGCGACTAAGTCGTGCATATTGACCCCTACGTCTATATGCTTACAGAAAAGACATCCATGTCAGATTCTGTAGACTATCGCAACACCTGTAATTCTCAAAGTGGTTTAATGTTCCGCTAACAGATGGTGATAAACCTAGAATCTCAAGACTAGGAGATCCTAAGGAAATTAGAATGAGAATTACAGATGTTGCGATGGTCTACAGAATCTGACATGGATGTCTTTTCTGTAAGCATATAGACGTAGGGGTTATGCACGACTTAGTCGCAAGGTAAGATTGATGAATCTACCTATACACCTTGCTCTTAAGCCACTAGATGGCTATGGAGGCTAGATCGTCCTTCTGCCCCCTCAGGGCTTCGACTTGTTTGATATATGGAGGTACCCTTCATGAATCGATTGTCAGCTGGCCAGTGCAACTGATGAGACTTATGGCAAGTCGAAACAGTCTGTCTTGCATCAGCTGACAATCGATTCACGAAATTTCCCTAGAATCTCTTAGTCTTGAGATTCTAGGTTTATTGTAGATAAATATGTTTGTTCCTCATCTTCTGTTACTTATTTTGTGATAATTGAACTATCATTCAATATGTCGATTAACCATAGCAGTAATAATTGCGTTTCACTTGTTTTGATATTTCACCACATATTATTGTATAGCTTAATTGTCAATTTCCACTCAGCTACGTGACCGTTTTGCTAGATGTTATGTAAGAACAAACAATTGTTTCTTGGTAGTTAACCATCATTCTGTACTACTATGACTGATGACGACCAATTGAATGGTCGAAACATGACTCAAAAGTTGAAGTAAAAGCAGAATTGCCTGCACACGTCGCCATTTAACTTTGTAGATGCCTCTGAGTTTTTTTCTCTTCAAGACAAGAATTTGTTATCAAGACAAGATTTTTTTTTGTCTTGGCGACCCCTACCTATATTATTGTGTGTAAACGTCCAATTTTTTTTTTCAGCTGGTTTTACCAGTGTTCGAATGCAAGTTCACAGACTCAACAACATTTCCTTCACATTTCCCCCTTGTCCCCTACTAACCCAGCCAGGAGACGTTCCCCTGGATCTGATGTGCAACGAATTCAATTTGCCCGATAGATGTAAAGGAAAGGACACTTGCGAGTGTGTCCATCTGGAACACATCCCATTGGGGAGCCGGACCGAGATCGTCCTCATCGATGAGAGTAAGTGGATGATACTTATTAGTCCATGAAAGTTAGGAGGGAAAAAAGGACAAAACCTCGAAATCCGAGGAAGAAGGTTCTCGATTTGGATGGGACATAGTAGATTGTTTCATTAGGATCAAAAGTGACACTTTGTTTGACAAGCGAATTTTGCATTTACGGGGCGGAGCGTTCAGCGAAGCCGAGCGGAAGCCAAATTTGCGAGTAAAAAAAAATCACTTGTGATCCGAATGAAACATGCTTTTTTTTTTATTGAAGTTTGCTGACCGGACATTTCCATTCATATTCGATAATACCTACAGGTATTTGACTGAATAACTAGTTGCTACTTGTAAAATGATTCCCTTAGCGGTTTTTCAAAAATTTTGCTGAGCGAGCATTTCTGGTTTGAAGTTTAGTTTCAAATTACATATTTGAAAATCTCATATGATTATCTAGTTGTCATTCGATGAACAATCTTGATCCACCCCTCAAGAGGGGTAGTTTATTTCTGTTTTTTTTTCAATCCTTGCTGACCGAACATTTCTGGTTCGAATTTTTGCTTCAAATTACATAATTGAAGATTTTTCACGGATATATAGTTGCCACCAAGGCAATAATTTTGATCCACACCTCAAGAGAGGTAGTTTATTCCTTCTGTTTTTCGAAAATCCTTGCTGACAGAGCATTTCCGGTTCGAATTTTCTCTTCAAATTGCATATTTGAATATCTCTAGTTAATCCAGTTAATCAGAGGGGTAGTTTATCGCTATTTCCCAAAATTCCTTGCTGTCCGAATATATTTCTAAACCGAATTTTTGCTCAATTGCATATTTGAACATCTAACAATAAACTATCTCTTTCAAGGGTGGATTGAGATCACTCCAAATTCCACTGGTTGCACTGAATGTCTCTACAAGATGATCAAATATGCAATTTGAATAAAAAAATTGAACCAGAAATGCTCGGTCAGCTAAGATTTTTGAAAAACATCAAGAATGAACTACCTCTCTTAAGGGGTGGATTGAAATTATTGCCTTGGTGGTAACTAGATATCCATATAAGATCTCCAAATATGTAATTTGAAGCAAAAACTCGAACCAGAAATGCTCGGTCAGCAAGGATTTTTGAGAAACATCGAGAATAAACTACCCCTCTTGAGGGGTGGATTGAAATTATTGCCTTGGTGGCAACTGGATATCTATATAAGATCTCCAAATATGTAATTTGAAACAGAAATTCAAACCAGAAATGCTCGGTCAGCAAAGATTTTTGAAAAACATCAAGAATAAACTACCCCTCTTAAGGACTGGATCAAGATTGTTGATCGGAATGCAACTAGGTAATCATATAAGATGTTCAAATATGTAATTTGTAACAAAACTTCTAACCAGAAATGCTCGCTCAGCAAGGAATTATGAAAAACCGCTATATAGAATAAACTACCCTTCTGAGGGAGGAAATGGAATTATTTTACCAGTAACAACAATGTATCCATAAAAATAACTTGATTATCAAAAATCAATCGAAATATCAGGTCAGCAAGCTTTAATCTTGGTCAGCAAATTATATTATATCTAGATGACATCATGATAAAAGTACAAGTTTACAGCGCCAAGTTTATCATTTTGAAAATTTTCACATTTTAAAATGTGAATTAGCCAAAGGGACTAAATAAAGGATTTATATATATATAGGAGATGGTGACGTGCAAGGATGAGGCCTGCTAGGTCATGGTTTTCTTACTTAACACCCATTGATCCATCACTATACAAATTTCTAGCCTTACAGACAAACCGTTTTATAAAAGGTTCACGAGCTCTTAGACTATAATTGAATGCCGATAATTCATTATCAGTCCACTCATCCACTTTGCCCCATCAATATCGAACCGTCTTTACCGAATTAACTGCTCACTTTCCTGAACTATATCGCAAACTGTTGATGAGCCATCAAACTCTGGAGATCGGGATAGTGTTTAGTGTTTACCACTCCAATTTCAACGAATTGAGCGTATCAAATTTGATTGGGTTGTAACGTTACCTAGTTATGGAAGGGAATTATTCGTGGAACATATTCGCCTCTAGAGCATGCTAAACTTTGATAGGTACTTCCCTACTTAGGTAGCAGGTAGCACAAAAATAATATCGACAGTTATATTACGATGTTCTGAATATTCTGTCGCTTCATTGTTCACGAAATTGTGCTTTGAGCAACACCTCGAGAAGATATTCAGAACAGAGTGGTATTTGTAAAAACTTCACATACGATAAGATTTCCACAAAATTCTTAAACACACATGTTTCGCTAACACAGTAGCTTTATCAGGTGGTATACTGGTACAATGAACTAAACCAACGTTGGCTTGCTAAACTTCCTACTAACTTTTATAACCTGACGAAACTACTGTGTTAGCGAAACATGTTGTGTGTTTGAGAATTTTGTGGAAATTTTATCGTGTGTGAAGTTTTTACATTTGCCAGTGATTTTCATCAAGTAACGGCCGAGTCAATTGAAAAAAAAAGTGGTATTCTGCTAGACTATTTAACGAAGTATTAGACGAATTTATTATAAATGAACGAGCCATATAACCGAAGCAATCAATTTTGACATCAACAGTTATAACCATTTCATGTCAAATTGACAGACTCGTCTTCGTTATCAATGGTTACATCTTGAAAAACACCATCCCTGATAGACCAATCAAGAATGGAAGACAGCTTGTATTTTCGGATTGATACAAGTTGACTTTGGCTTGCGATAGGTCAGATTATGTCAAATAGTCTTGAAAATCAAGAATTATTCAAAACTGTTCCACATCTGAAAAGAGACAAGCGAAAGTTTGTTCCATTCTTGAATCGTCATAATTTCGGATTCAATCAACCAATTTTCAATTACCTTCAAGGGTCAGGTCTCATGGGACTTACACACCTGCATTATCTCTAATGTGAAATGTATTGAAGTGTTATGTACCTATCTATATGTTGAGAAAATTAACAGACTTTGAAGCATTTTGAAACTAAGTGATAGCGGAGGACCAGGGTTCGAATCCCGTGGTAGTCGTCTTTTTTTTATTCGAATGTATCGGCAGACATGTATTGGCCCTGATGCAGGTCATACACTAACTCAGCGATAGAGAAGGCCTTGCCTGATGACGGCCAGAGTCTCCTATTGGTACTGGCCCATCAATATTCACAGGAATTATGCCAATTTTGGCCAGCTTATTATGGGCCAGCATGAGACCGACCAAAATAGTTCGCTGGGATATTTTCGAACATATATCATCATCATGCATCTTGACAAGTTAGAGGCATTGACTGGGAGAGTGGATAGCTATTCCCTAAGATTCAATCAATGGTTTCATAACCGGTAAGCCAAGAAGAATAAGAGCTCTCCTAGCTGCTAGAGGAGGTGCAACAAAATATTGACATATGAAAATATCAAACATATTGTGTAATTTATTACCTTCATTTCTTTAGCAGCATTCTCATTCATTTCTACATTCTTCATGTTCGACCATGGAATTGTACCATTGTATAGTGATGTCGTAGGAATTAGAGTCACTGGATGTTATTCGTTTGAAACTAATACCATCCAGTGACTCTAGTAGGAATATGCTGATCTAAAATAATGTTGAGTTGAGTTTATGGTGGTTGGACTTATAAGAATGCAATATGATGTGGAAAATTCCATACATCAAAACAGCCTGTATGGATCCTCCTGAATCCAAAACCATTTCGAGAAACCTCATTATGCTTCAGCGATACCAAACTTTTCGAGCATATTCAATCTCAATCTTCTTCTGAAGATGCTAACATAGATAGATAGATAGATAAAATAAACACATTTTATCGACAAAGTCAAAATACTATGCGATACATTGATTGCAAGATATAAATGAATAAAATAGAATAAAAGATGAATATATAAAAATAACATAGAATATAGTTAGCGAAACATGTGTGACCACTGTGTATTGGCATTTGAATACATTCCATTAACTTTCAGGTGGAGATGAAGAAGAACATATTTTTCATTTGCACGGTCATCAGTTCTACGTGCTAGGATCACGGATTTTTGACAAACCACTGGCAAGAGCAGACGTGAGAAAATTGGACCAAGAAAACAAGTTGTTGAAAAGAAACTTGATGCATCCGGTTCTGAAGGATACCATAAGAGTGCCTCGAAATGGGGTAGTGGTCATAAGATTTCTAGCCAACAATCCAGGTGGGTTGAAATTATACAGGGTGAATTATAACGATTTATATATAGAGCATTGTGGTAGGAACCTGACACCGAAATATGACAATGAGCAAAATTTGACCTTAGCAGAATATTGATTGTTAACAGTTTTTAGGGTTGACATGTCGAAGTATTCAATTGATCATTCTGAAATATTGCACTATCCGTCCACAAATATTAATACAATTTTAGTAATAGGGGTTTGTGAGGTGATGACAAATAGTTCTCATAGTTCTCATAGTTCTCATAAAAATGTCACCATGATGATATTTACGATTATTTAACTCCATGATATTGTAATGATATTCCCCTTAGAGGGGCTCTAGAAACATCAGGAAGGCAGGAGTACAACGATCATCCTGTAACACGCATCCCAGATTGTTCTCTAACATCCCAATGATTCCTACATGTACCAGCCTATTTCCGAACTCTCAATATATATCGCGGTGACAAATAACGTGACAGAAGATGCTGGAATGTTCTGGAAACAATCGATGAAACAATTAGAGAGAGGGGTATTGTTCTAAGAAGCTTCTAGAACAAAAAGAAGGGTACGGAAGATCATTCGAGAACTTTCGAGAAGCAAAGCCTACCAAGGGATCTCATATATAAGGACGGCCGGACAACTGCCGTCAGTCAGTCAAGCAGCGAGTGTCAGAGAGACAGTCATATCCCGCGTGATATAAATCGTTTCACATAAATAGTAGTTATAAGTTCGATATAAATTTGAGTTCCTCTAGTTAAAATAAGCCAGTTCGAAAATAAATGGTGTCGTGTTCGCTTCTGCACCCGAATAACGTGATAATATGTTTGATAAGGCATCAGATATTGCAATACGCTAGTTTTATGCAGACAACATCGATTTATAAAGAAGGATTTTCAGCTGCTTGATTATTTCAATAGATTTCGAGGAATTGAAGACATTTCAATTGTTCATCCTTGCGATTAAATACATTTTTCACACAATAAAAAATAAATCGCTCAGTATGTATATACCACCCTGTGAATGGGCTACTGGTAGTGAATAATTGGGATTCAATTACTCCACTGTGTCGATACCGACCTGAATTAATGTTTGCAGTACTTCTTACCCGTTTTTGATGCATATAATGTGTCTATGCATGCGTTGTTTGAAATTGTTGAATTTAAATGCTCATTTCAAACATACCCTCATGGCCGCCATTTAGCCATGTTCTGGAATACGTCTTATATATGGTGACGTCAGTTCTTATGCTGTTTCATTATTGGTCAGATATTATTTCATTCATAAAGCAAGGTTGTCAGATCACCAATTATAATCAAGTAATTGAAAAGTTGTCAGAGCCCTTTCGTTGAATAAGACTACATTCAAATACAATATTCCATCATATATGTATTAATAAACAATACGGATCATAACGGGTGACAGGATGAAGCCAAAAATATGAAACAAATGAATATCCATAAGGATTTGGTGGCATGATACGCATGCATTATAGTAGTCATCAAAGACATGCGTTTCGGTGGACAATGACGTTTACTAGCCTTTCAATAAAAGCAGTATGTGTCTGATCGTTTCAAAACTTTTCCTTATGGATAGTCATTTGTCTTCAAAAATCGGCTTCATGTTTCGCTATGGAAACAGATAGAGATTATCCGTATTGATTATTAATACGTATATGTATTTCATTTGACCTAATAGGAGGAAGCGATTATATTAAATTTCATTTCGTTACTTTCTCGAGCAACCGGCTGGTCAAAATATTTCTTATACTCCATAACAAACATCATGTAAGTAATGGCAATAAAGACTTGGCAATGTTGTGCTGAATATTGAGAATTGACAAGACAACGCCCGCAGTCCAGTGTTGTCACTATTATCAGACCAAATGTCCTCTAGTGTGATCTGATATAATTATTATTACCACAATTTCATCATGAGCAATAATACACAACTTAATATATGGGGGACAATTACGAGGAAATGTTTTTTAAAGGTAATATAACTAATACATTTTCGAGAAGTCATGAATTATTGAATAAATAATCATTCTGAAGTTTCCATTCGTATTCCAACATATGGCAACTGTGCTGTGATCTGCCCCAACTTACGAAATAGTGACATCAGTTGTTATTTGCGGTGAATTTCTAGTCATTTGGAAATCATGTGATTATATTGGTGATTCTAGCACATTAAAATCGACTGGAAGAATCTAAAAATATATAGAATTGAAAGGTGATTACTACTAAGGTCATATTTCGCAAATGCTCATATCCTGATTCCAGAATTCTTCCATTGCCCTGTATACAATTCATCATGAATAACCCTGTATCATGTCCAGTCCATCAATAAGAGCATTTCAAACTAATTATTGGTTCTCAATTGTTCAGTGACATCCTTAATATTGAAATTCATGATTTCAACAGAAATGTGCAAATAATTGAATGACGTTGAATTATTCAATTGAATAGAATATAATAATATATAGGTATTCATATATACAAGGTGTCCTTGAACAAAAATCATGAAATGTAATATTCCATTTTGAGCTTCTATAAATTACAGATGTTGCAATTGTAAATTAGTCAAATATTTGTTGAAAATATAGTGTTTCAAGGATGGCAGTTGAGACGCGTCGAACATCATTTGAGCAAAATGAAACAAAATTGACAAAAAAGAAAACAAAAATCGAAGATGAGTAGCCGCTTTAACCCTCCTGTAAGTTTTCTGCTATTCTCTGAAATTTCAATAAACTGGTTCGTCTTCGAATATCAAAAGTTTCATTTCGAAAGTATGGATCCGTGAACCATTAAATCATAGGAGATGAAGAATGTTCCAAAATGAATGATTATATGAATATTTTGAAGAATATCTGAGAAATCACTGACGCTTTTATTGAAAAAGAGAGGTGCATGGGAGGGTTATTGGTGGCTACTAGACCCCTCTGGTTTCCAAGTACCTGATGATGAGAGATATTATAGCGAATCATTCAATTTAAATTTTTTTAACAATAATAATAATAATGAAATCTTTATTCCAGTAAGACCAATTTCACATGGTATTGAGAAAGTCAGTTCATACAATTTTAAAACATTACGTATATATATGTATACATGGTGTAAAGTGACATGAAAATATATGAACAAACATAATAATGGGTAAAAATAATACAATACAGGGACATGAAATATACCTACTAATAACAGTGAGCCGATAATTTTTGATTAAAACTATAAAACTCAGGGATACTATAGGAACAGTTTTCTAACAAGAACTTCTTGTGACTTTTCTTGAAACAATTAATATTTTGTACGTCTTCCACAAATTGTGGTGGTTTGTTGTAGAGTTGTATACCAGCATGGGATGGAGATTTTTCATAAAATGATCAAAACCATCAAGAAACGTCCCAATTAATCGTGATGTTTTGGACAATGTCATATTCAAATTTTTTGTAGACACCACTTTCGAATTCTCAGTATTATTTAAGATGTTTGATTTCATTACTACAGTTTTAGTTCAACAGTTTTAGTTCAACATCAAGCGGTTCATTAGGCACCATCCACTGAATTTATTGTGAAGAATATTCAAGTTATTATATAGTTCTTTGGTAGAATTCGCATAGGAGGCAAGTGGAACATTATCCGCATATAACACAATACATTCAGTGTTCATATAAAAGGGTGAATCGTTGATGAGCAACAGAAAATTCAGCGGACCCAATACAGATCCCTGAGGAAGTCCTTCTGCCTCATTCGAATGACATTAATCGATTACAAGCTTAATCTTTCTGTTTTTCAAATATAAAATTAACCAATTCAACACATTTCCTGTGAAACCTAATGAATAAAGTTTCGTTTCCACAAAATCTAAATCGAAGCAATCGAAGGCTTCTGTGACATCGAAAAAAAGTGCACCAACATCTTTTTTATTGTCGAGATGTTTATATACAAACTGAACTAATCCATAAACAGCACTTTCGATAGATCTGCCTGGGTAAAACCCATTTTGACACTTAGTTATAATCTGAAAAAAAAAATTCTGGGGTCGTGGTTTTGATGACCTGCGATTCGAACACAGAGGCTCACAATAGAAATAGTGTAGTATATGTAAGTCACATTATATTACGGCTACCTGATTGGTTCACGATTTGGCCTCCCTCTTCTCGGACAGTCTGTATATCATGCAATAAATTTAACAGCAACTAATTCTTGTTATCACCTCTAGTAACCACTGGGAAATTGCATCTGTACGCCAATGCAATGAAACCTACTTATCAATGAAGATCAATTATAGAAATTCGATTTACGCAAGTCCATATGTTGAATGGTTCATTTCGATTACTCTCAATTGATCTGCAAAACAGTTTTTTTCAGCAAATCAGCAGTATTTACGCCCCATTCAAACCGATTCGAACTAGTTATATCCATGCATTGTTGTCCTTTCATACAGTGTGTCTCACTTTTGATGGTAGCACTACTCTGTATCTTCCTTAATTATGAAGATAGAATTCTGAAATTTGCTCAAGTTGATACTTGATACTCTCGAGTCTTGTTGATGATGCATGAATTCAATAATAGCTGCACAAAAACATCTATTGGACGCAGAAGAGACGGCGCAACAAACAATACGTGCGGAAACATCTTGATCCGTTGATCGTGATTTGATATATCTGTCACGAGTGTCACATTTTCGGCATATTACGGATTTTGTTCAAATTCCAAATAGAAATATCATAAATTCCTATGGATGATAATTCATATAGACATCAGTAGTTTATTAAGCAGGTATTGATATTATATTAGGTAGTTGAGTGACTGTATTGTGCTTTCATCACGAACTGACCATGCTGCAATGTGTGAGGATTATTTGAAAATCCGAACTCAGTTTTATTTCACATACCAAAATTGATTGAATAAGCTATTATCACAGATTTTTTTTGGGGTAGAACTTCGTGTCGTTCATGAATTCACCACTGAAAGTTGAAAATATAACGCACCATTTCCATTTACACAAAAATTTGTGAAAATGGAGATGTGCACTCAAATGTATCATGATGCCTGTAAATTTGGTTTGAAACTTCGGAAATTCAGCAAAATTCTCCCACGCCTCGCCATTTTTACAGAGTAGGCGATATCGAGAGATTTCGAAACTCCTTTCATTATAGGAAGTGATAACACCATTTGACTTTCTATACATCTATCTCTCAATAACCAAATGGAATCATCATTATAGTGATTACTGCCCGCTCGTAGTAGGAGGCAAGATACGTTGATAATCTATGGATTCAAAATCACGACCTCAATACTATTACCGATATAATTGATTTCTCCACCACATCTCATATTGGAGATTGAGAGAGAAGGTGATTGGATGTCATTGAATGTATTTTCGGTAGCTTTCTATAGTCAATGCAAATTTCATAATTCTACCCTATATATAACGGAATATACAGGGTTGCTTACCTCAGGAGTGAGACAAACTATATATTGATTTTCGTAGGTTTTTGGATGTTGAGGGATGAGAAATCGGAAGCTTGGACTAGAGGAATGGACATAGCTTTCCAAGTGGGAGAACTAGCAGATGTGGTGTCGACACCTACAGCTTTTCCAACATGTGGGAATTTCATTGGACCACAATTTTTCCTAGTCTGAACAAGATGCAACCCTTATTCGTGATATACCTATCTTTAAGACCATTGTAAAATATGCTACGTGTTTTTTATGAAGTTGAGTTTTTGTTTAATATATTCTTTATTTTATTGTTCTGATGGAGGAGAAGGTACTTATATTCTGAATATCCCATTTTTTCCCATTCCATATCTTCTCTCTCATTGTGAATTCCCTTGAGAACATAACTATAAGTCACAATACAGATTTCCTGAGTCACAGTGATCGAGAAGTTCAATAGCCAATAACATTAACATTAGCCATTAACAATTCACACAATCTTGGAGAACTTCAAGATACCAAAACCCAATGAGCGAATGTACATTAACTTAACGTTTGTTCAACGTCGAATGGGTGGAAAATACGTTACGTATTCATTTTTAACGTTGGCAATGTGGTTATGACAATCGCGGTATATGAAACACTTCTTCCTAAGGACATGCATTCAACGTACTCTTCTATCTCACGATTCGTTGATGAGTTTATTGAATTTATATTCGACCAAATTATCCAGAATAACACTTTAGAGTTCAACATTCTGTTTTTCAACGTATTTCTAACTATATTCCTTGAATCTGAAATTTTAACCGATTTTGCTAAATAAATAGTTTCTTCACGTTTTTTCAACTTGAAGAAGCCCATTGGAAATAATAATATTTTCACTGATCACGTACGTAGGTACTCTACTGTGTATGCAAAGATCTATATTTATTCAAGTGTAAGTACTATATGGTCGAATCTCTTTCAAATACAGGATGGGCATTAGTGCGTTGGAGCTCATCGATTGATCGAGTTCTAAGTGCATGAATAGAAATTATTTTTGCATGTACAGGGCACACCGAAAAAAATCTAGGGGGTCGAGATGATTTTTTTCAAATGGAATGCGACCCCTATAATATTGTTGACTATATCTCGATCATATCGAAGTTATGAATGTTTTGGTCGAAATAATAGGTGGTCGAGGGCGTGAAGGCGCTGAGTTCGTATGGGGACTCCCACCGAGACATAGGTTCGAATCCTAGTTAGGCCATGGATGTTTGTGTTTGTATGCATACCTAACTCCGCACAAGTTTCGACTTATGGGGCGTTTGGCCCCAGTGCTGGGACCAATGAGGTAATGCAATTGCAAAAAAAAATGTCATCTGCAGATACCGAAAATATCACTGTCGTCACAATTATGAAGTTTGAGAGGAAATAATCTTCTGCCTGGAAGATTGAAGCGTACTTACCGAGATTGACAGAGATTTCCGTCTTCGGCTTTCTGCTGAACACACCGGTTCCAACTCCAAGAGGGGTTTTCGAACCATCTGTGTACATTACGTGTTCGATCTCTGGGAGTTGGACTGTTGGATTGGAAACAAGTTCCTAGCTCCACCCTGTGTATTCAACCAGAAATATATAGTTTATCTACTTCAATAAAAATATTTCAGACATTTGTATTTTACATATGTATTCCTAAGTTCATGAGACCAAACATACGGTGATATTTCAACCATATATCCAGAGGGCAATAAACATTCTGGAAACAGCCAAATTTCACGCGGTATAAAAATAAGTTGACAGGAGAAGGATAAAGGAAAATGTCGATAAATTTTATCTGGAAATCGTTTATGCTATTGAATGCCTGATGCTTCGAGATGTTAGTGGAAGCTGTACTATATTTCAGACAAAATGAAAATGATGAATATTATAGGTAGGTATAAACCCTTGATCGATATTCAATGCCTCTGGAAACCAATGTGCAGATTATGACAAACAGATATGAAGTAGAGAACAACCTTCAATTCGAGTATGATACCAACCATGTCCCTCCAAAGGCACCACATCTTTGGAGAGCCCAACTAGCATTTTCAGTCACAGGCACCATGGTTCAAGAAACTATTACCTATATTTAGTGATAATAACGTATTTATCACTTATTTCAGAACTTCATAGTATAAATGTCAGTGATAGTTATTTAGTGAGTGAAAATTACGTAGTTTTTACACTAGATAATAACTTCAAAGTGAGAAATTCTCATGGCTTATTACGAAGTAACTATTTCGAAACTGTCACTCCTCAAAACTACTCTTAAGGTTTCGGAACTTTGGATATATTATTACGGTAACGCTTACCACCCCAAGAAGGCTTCACAGTTGCAATTACTCTATGGTCACCAATTAGGTTTCTACGACGTTGTCGTTACTTGATCGATCACCTAATAATTTAGTCAATTCTTGGTGATATTTCAAGTAACATATTGGTGATTCCTTCTCAAACAATTCCTTCATAGTTGAAACAACTTTTCGGTAATTATATTCAGTTGAAGTTACCAATACATAGGTTATCATAACTGACGAGTTCCAAAAGTAACTTTCTGATTCATTTTCGATTGGAAGCCATATTGATTGATGTGATAACCATTTGAACAGGAAATAATTTTGGTTTTTCTTGTTGATAAACATCATTTTATGAAGAATAATAGCATTCGTTCGATCACAAATTGCATAATAATGGAAATTAACATGATTTACGATGATTTTTGAAAAATAGCCGAATGAAATAAAACCATATTTTTGGTGAAATGAGCCGTATTTTGTGGGCGCATCTTGAATTTCGAGGCAAAATCATCACATTTATCGAAAAACTGAATGTTGTTCGAATTTTTCAAGTTCGAGTATCAATTATTTCGCGTGTTTGTCCTTCTATTATTTATTGAATGGTTAGGCATATTGGACTTGTTCATTTTTCGTGAATGTGAACTTCATGGATGAAAGGAAGAATAATAAAGAGAGAAAATAATATTTTTATGAAGTGGAAAAGAAATAGAAAGTCAGGTAGGAAAATTTACTACATCTTTACGTAATTTCGACGTCGACGGGTCGTAAGCATTACGTAATTGTGTGAGTTCCCGCTACGTCGGCAAACCGTAATAATTACTCGTGATTTGTTCCCCATTTTGGTCGTGAATACGTAGTAACGACGTAATTATAACGTGACCGCAACTAGTAAATATTACTTAATAGTCGACCCAATAGTCGTAATTACGTAATCGCGACTATAAATGCTAGTTGGGAGAGGCTATCAAACCTCAGGAGAAGGACTCTTGTTCATCTTGATATAAATGAATGAACAAGGCGAGCTTTATTCAGTGAGAGGAAAGAAGCTATACCTTTCTTCCCTATGGAGGTCACTGCTCATGAATTGTGTGCAGGAGATTTGACTAATATAGAGCTCTAATGATGAGGAACATCAACATTGTAACGGATAGTCATACTGCTCTCAAAGCACTGAGCTCTAGCAAAATAAATTCGAAGCTCATATGGAACTTCAACTGAATCAAATCCCTATAGAGTACTACTGTTGTGCTAGCGAACAAATGAACTTTGCGTGTATTACGACAGGGGGTAGAGGGCAAGGAAAGTCAACACCCTAGGATCAGAACTACAGAATAGCTCTGTTTCAGAAGAATATAATATGTTCGAAGAATATCGTGCGTACCTGGGGAGGATAGGGAAGGAAGGTATGTATTGGATTTTTTCAACGTTTGGAAGGTAAAAGCTCTTGAGAATTCTTCCATTGGCAGAGAATTTCAATGCGTTGCCGTTCTACGGACGAGTGTTGTTCGAGATAACTCAAGGTTGACAAAGCATCACAGCGAGCACAAAACATCTCAGAGATGTTAAAAGTACGAGATTTCGAGACATTGAACCTCCACTGCGATGTTTTGTTTACACATGAACAGAACTATTATAGAACAGCCAATGTCCGCCGCAGGCGGCAATTATCGAGATGTCCTTGATATATCACAAAACTACCTTCTCCCTAGTTCTTTTTGAAGCCTTTTCATGGACACAACAACACATTTTCAACGCATCTTGCGCACATTGAATCACTGTAAAAAAAAACATTTTCGAGGTACTTTTCTGAAGCCTTTTGTCAAAATGAACTTTTGCATCAGGATTCCATTTCCCTCGAATGAAAAAATGCATTAAAAATAGATTGAACATAAAAATATTTTCTTGATATGAAATTACCTTCTCAATCGGTTTCTGAGTAGTGCTTACTACACACAGACATATAATTGGAAATAGGTTTCCAATTTTTGAAAAGTTCCTCACAATGCATAATTTTGCAACTGCGGAGAAGCTGTGTATTGATAAATTCATTACACTGAGGCGCCGAACAACACATCTTGCATCTGATGGTCATTATTACAAACTAAATAAGTCTTCTAACACAATAAACTTCACCAATATCCTTTCTGTTCGTTAGCATCGTGATGTAAGCGTGACACGCTGCAAACGCGAATGCCAATTGCGAACAAGAAGAACAAAATCGAAAACAAATCAGAATTCATCGTATTGTGACGTAAGCTTGAGACGTTGTGGTGGGGCAAACAAAGAAAGGGCACAAAAGAACAAAAACAATATACTTTCAATATCCTTCTGAGACGTCTTTGAGAAGTGAATATTACGTCTCGAAAAAACATCCTCATGCCTACATTTCTAAAACATTCCAAAACATCCCAGGGATACCTCTCAGTAGGCAAACAAAGAAATGCCACAGAAGAACAAAAACAATACTTCAATATCCTACAGAAACCTTTTTGGTCAGTGCATATTACTTCTCAAAATAACATCTTCATGCCAACATTTTCAAAACATCCCAAAACATCCCAGGGATGTTTGTGCTCGCTGGGATGGATGTGCTTCTATGGTGTTCTAATGAGGTCGAATAACTAGAGTGATTGTGTGAATCTAAGAGCATCAGCGTATGTTTGGGTGCCAAACGACCCTATAATGTGGGAACAGTATTCTGAAACTGGCTTGAAAGATCATGTTGAGGTGTTCAAAGTAGACTAACTTCTGAAGAAAGAAAGAACATGCAGATTTTCTAATAAAAACAATTCCTTTTAAAGTAAACTTTCTTTGTAGATGTTCAAGATATCTCAATCAATGGACCAGAAGGACCATATACAACACTATCATACTTCCCCACTTCAC